CGAACATCAGTGTGTCGGTTCGCCTTGCACCTATGCCCTGCATCCGACGGCCGAGACTTGATGAGTCCGCGGCGTGGGCCGTGGCTATCGGCGGGGCCTACTGCTGCGATGTCGACGAGCTCAGGTAAATTTCCCTGGGGACGATGGGAGACTCAGGCCACGCAGGCTGGTCATTCGAGAGGATGCCTAGGGGCGGTAGTGCTAGTCCGCAGCTATAGTTCAAGTGGATGCCACTATAGATATAGTAAGGGATGACGTTAGGGTTCTCGTCCTCTAGTGGAGGTGGGTATAGCACCCCGTGGGGGAAGTGACCGTTGATGACGCCAATCGGGACGGGAGGGGGCCTATGGGATGCCGCCGCGTGGCTACCAGAAAGGTGATTAACAGGCGTGGCAGGGTACTTTGACCAGTGCGGACAGTCCTCGAACATGCGGTCTGTCGTCAGAACCAACGTTCGGCTCGTCTGTGGTATAGATACTAAGTATTAGTGATAATATGTAGGGAGAGGTTGATCATCCAAATTTACTTTTAGGTCGTTGCGGGGGAGACATCCGCACCAGCTGTAGAGAGTAAGGTTCCAGATATCAATCAGATAGTGAAAGTTGGGCTTCTTGGAAGGCTGGGGCCCACGCTAGGGAAACCAGATGTAAATATAAAGGTTAGCAGCCTTAACGAAGTTAAGCTGTTTATTGCTGCGGAAATCAGCGTCATATAGGCGGGTGAGGTCAGCCTAGTCAGCAAACTGCCAAACGTTCAGTAAGTGGCACTTAGCGGGGTCCCTGAAGTCAAAAGTGTTACCCACAGCTCTAAAACGAGAGACCTTCAGACGTTACTCCTTCTCAGTAGCGGTGGTGTTGAGGATATTAATGAAGGTTCTGAGGGTATTGTGACCAGGATCGTCGTGGGGGAGGATGCCAGGCTTGACCAATATAGGGCGGATAGCGTAAAGCATCATCTTCTCGGCCGGCTTTGGGTCAGCTGACAGCTTGGGATTTGCGGTAGCAGCATATATCTTGCCTGAGAGGTGATTTGTGGTTGTTGAGGAAGGAAGCTGTGCCTTTGGATGCTCCCCTAGCAGTTGATAGCAACTAGGAGCGGTTAGTTAATACGTGCGAAGGAGAGAGCAGCTAGCTTAGCTGGGTAATAAAAATTAGTTGAGGGATGTGGTGATATAGGAGGAAGAGAAGAGAAGGCGCTAGATGCTAAATTGCTAGCTAGAAGGAGGTGCCTTAGAAGCAGCCTGCAGTCTTAAAAGAGAAGGAGCGGCCTGGCTGGATGAGGAATGAGGAAACTGCTGCCTTCCTCTATAATAGGAGGAAAGAAGGCAGTAGCAGATTGGAAAGCAGCTACATAATGAAGTGGATCAAAGGAGGAAATCTCATCAAGTGCTTGGATTCCCAGATGCTGGCTATTGTGCCCAGGACTTGCTCTGACGTGCATGCATGTGGAAATTCGAGGATTCACTACTGCTCCAGAAGGGGCGGAACAGGAAGCCCAGAAGACTATCTTGGTCGACAAGCCTCCTCGAGATGGCGGCCAAACAGGTAGTGCGCGTCGAGGCAACCTTAATATTCTGCTCAAGCTGTTTATAGACTAAGGCAGCGACAATACGTCCTGAAATTCGGAGCTTTTGCTCTCAACAATATCGTGACCATCCTAATAACCAGAAGCTGCAAATCAAAATAATAGACCCAGAGCTGTAGGACACAGATAATAAGGTCGTAGGTACTCTTATGTTCCTATGAGTGGAAGGGGGCATGGCTACATAATAGCGTCCACCGCCTCGTCCTTGATTCGCACTCTGCGTCTTCCATGCCTCATCCTGACACTCAAACTCTCTTCAACTCCACGTAACGCTCCTTGCTCGAAACTCCTCCTCTAAGAAGGCGATCAAACTCCTCCTGAGCGCCCATCTGCCCAGGCCTCAGCTTCAATCTGAACGGCTACTTCTCGATCACAGTATGGCTTCCCTTCATCGCAGCTCTAACCAATTGAGCACTCTAAGAGAACATAAGCTTCGCAGCATGCCTTAGAGTGTAATTAGCATACGCTGCAAAAACGCACAGCAAACAGCTCCACCACGCTACTTACTAGTTAAAAACGTGGTTATAAGTTAGGATATAATCCTGAGCAGCTATGATTTTGAAGATTATGGTGTTGTAATAATTAAGCGGTCTTCCGCTGGGCGATAGGTACTTATGAATGCGCTTCATCACCATGCCATCCGCCTTCATGTCTGTAAGCCTTTCCATTTCAGTAGTATTCTCATCCACAGCATTCATGAACAGTGTGATCAGCATCGCATGGGGGTTGATGAGAGGGCTTTGAAGGAGGGGAATCATCAGCTTGAGCGTGTGATAGATGCTGAGATACCTGGCATCTGAGATATTAGAGACCTATACTAGAGATGTCAGCTGAAGATTTTCGCTATAGTGTAGGTATTAATGCCTACTTACCTCAATCTGGCTGAAGGTGCTGTTCTCCAAGAACTTAGGAAGAGCAGACGCATCTATTTAGAACAGTCTAAATGAGGTCTGCAAGCTTAAAAGACGATGGAGAAATGCCCAAAGTACTGTATGAAGGCTTGTAAAGAGTTTGCTATAGATATCAGCGGTTGCAGGCCTGGTCTGAGTCTCTTAGACGTCCTTGGAAGACCATCTATTGAGGGGGTCGGCATTGTCGTACATAGGCTAGCTTATTTCCCGGTAAATAGTTCTAATACTTATTAGCTATATATTCTATTCCACTAGTGAAGAGAATCTGTTACTCATGGGTTAGGGTGCTGGAAGGTATTATGCGCGGCTCTAAATAGAAGCAGAAGTCTATCCTCGCGAAAGCATGTTAGGGCGATTTGATGGGATGGGGACTGGAGCATAAGGTGACGATCATAATAGTCCTTTCTGCCCTCGGCGAGGGTGACAGCTTTATAAATCTTAAATGCATAATTTGACGTCACGCCCTTAGGGGTGTCTGTGAAGGATAAGAGGTCGTCCCACGTAGACCTTTTCAGCATGAGTCTCAGCAACCGCTAGCTAAACGTCCAGGTCTTTGCTTAGAGGATGTCAGCACCCTTTCCCTTCAGCTTATGGCAGACCTCCTTGAGGACTAAGCAGATGCGATGCTACATAATATTGAGGTTGGATTTACAGAGGAGGGCAGAATACTAGACGTGGATAATGCAGTCGGCTGCAAAGTTAATATTATCTACTATAAGACTAATAAGAAGCATAATGACGTTCCAAGCAATAATATTCAGATCACAGTCGTTTATAGTCACCTTAATAGGCTGAGTGTAGCTATCAGGGAGCTAGGCAATAGTCTTAACGACGTTTTGAAGGTCTCTAGAGGCTATATATAATAAGTTAGACTCATCGCAAAGCTTGCAGATTATGGTACTCACCAGCAAACAAGAGGCGTAACTGCTCGTCATAGGAGACGCCTTCGTTTGCGCCAAGTTGGAGGACGTTAAAAGCTAGAACGTTGCCCTAAAGGTACTTCCCAGCTCTATAGGTCACCTGCAGGGGACTATTCCTAATGAAGGCTGGAGCTTGGTTCTCTAAGACCCAGTCAGGCTGCTAGCTCTCCCTTCCAAGGTGAGATTTGCAGTTGGGCTTATGCATAGTCCAGTGAGACTTCTGACACTTAGGGCTATAGTACTGGAGGAAGTCTGGGTCAGCAGATAGAGATGAAATCTTTATGGGGAATGTGGTGCCCACTGTGACTAGAAGACAGTTCTTGCAAGCGAACCTGCCAGTATTGTTGCATTTGGTGTTATCTGGCGCCCAGTTGGCGCATATTGGCTGGAAAGTTGCTATTTTGTTGTTGTTGCCACTAAGGTTAAGGTGCTAATTGCAAGAAGAGGAAGCTATTTTTTTTTTCAAAAAAAGTTGGCTGCCCTGCTCATTTATCTGATTCCATGAGTTTCCAGGCGGCTGGTGGAATTCGTGAAGCAGGTGCAGTTGCCCGTAAAAGGCTCCTGCCTCCATTATATAAACGCTTGTTTGCTGTACAAACGGTGGAGTGCAAACCTGAGGCCTTACTATGAATTTGATTATTAATCATAATGAAATGTAAGAGAATCGGTGAGATCTGACGAGTATAATGATTCGTGTCTGCTTTGTTGAACAAGTCACTGAACTGTCCAGGCCTCCCCGGATGGTAGTTGTTCGAAGTCCTTCCACCATCGTGAAGAAAGGCATATTTTGCTGTTCCATAGCTATATATAGTCTGTAATAAAACAAAATTTGTGTGTTATCTCAATGTAAAAATCTTCCTAATCTAAAGTCAGACTAAGTGACGAATTAAGCTGGAGCAGCAGGCACTAAAAGAATGTGATCAGAAGCCCAGATAGGTTCAGCTCAGGTGGGTATCAAGAAGGACCTGATATGCGGTGGTAGAAATGCAGTGGTAATGAATGGCTCCTTTCCTGCCAAGGCGTGTGCGTGTACTGCCCGGGCGATCACTCAGATAAAGTCTGGCTGCGCATGGCAAAGAAGCTGGAACACCATTGGTGAAACGCTTCAGTGCATGGCCGGATTCTGGTGCCAGATAATGTTTGAGAATTGCCTTTGTGGCCTTGGAAAGGAACATTCAACGCCATCTTGCTTTTTGTCCTGCTGCTGCTCCCAGCTATAACGAGGGTGTCGATGAGGAGAGAAAGACGACATTAGACTAACGATGTCCGGTTTGCTTTGGAGGAGAACCCCACAAATTGTAAGACGCAGTATCCAAATGGCCACGCGCTTTCCAGATTGCCTCCTGGAGATACTGGTCTTCTAATGTCGCCTTCCTGACGGTAGACCCTTGATTGATAGTACAGCTGTTTTCATCAGCGTAAAGACTGAAATTCTCTCTGAAGCTGCGTCGTAGAAAGCTTTTGTAGAAAGACTCAAGGTCTTCAGAACGACGTAACCTACACGGTGCCGACTGAACGTGTTCCTCCGCCTGGACATGTGCTCCTAATGCATCAAGAATTTTGTCTGATAACGTCGACTCGTTACCTAGAGCTTCGGCGGCGGACGATCGTACGTTGGTGTCCTCGTCCTTGAAGAGTTCCATAAGGGCGGCCACGGTTGCATCTGATAACGTCGACTGCTTGCCTAGAGCTGCAGCGGCAGACTCTCGTACGTCTCTGTCCCCATGCTTGAAGAGTTCCACGAGGGCGGCCATGGTTGCATCTGATAACGTCGACTGGTTGCCTAGAGCTCTGGCCGCGGACATTCGTACGTTACTGTCCTCGTCCTTGAAGAGTTCCACCAGGGCGACCACAGTCGCGTCTGATAACGTCGACTGGTTGCTTAGAGCTTCAGCGGCGGACTCTCGTACGTCACTGTCCTCGTCCTTGGAGAGTTCCACAAGGGCGGCCACGGTTGCATCTGATAACGTCGACTGCTTGCCTAGAGCTTCAGCGGCGCAATATCGTACGGAGCTGTCCTCGTCCTTGAAGAGTTCCACGAGGGCGGTTATTGTCGCGTCCGATAAATGTTTCTGAAAATCCCTCAATACGTCCAAGAAGACTGTTTTATCTCCAGAAGCTCTCATAGCGCGATTCAACACTGCTTCTGGAATCTCTGATTCTCTCATGAACGTTGACGATCCTGTGAAGTCCCTCTCAAACAGTACCCAGTCAAATAGTTTGTCTTCTATGTCCTTTCGAAGTTTATCCGGTAACCTCGGTGCCTCATTCAAGCAATGCATGACGAGGCGTTGGTGTGCTGGTCCCAAAACATCGACAGGCTCTTGCTCGATCTCTTTGAATAAGTGGCCAAGCTCATCTTCGCCTTCTTCGTTTGTATGTTCACTCAAAAACCCAGTAACAAAACGCCACATAATGTCGTACCGTCCATTATACTTATTTCTTCTGAGAAACTCCTCTGGAGAGACTTTGTAACTTTTCTCCCGGCGATTCAAATCAACACATTGGAGCATCTGTTTGTCCGTCCAGATTCGCACGAAGTATTTGGCAGCAAAGTACTCTTGGAAGGTTAGGTGTAGAAAATGATGGCTTCGGGTAGCAGGATCTGCTGACCCATCCGATGTCCGTAGAAATGATAGTCGTCCCATAGTTTCATAGACTGGCAGACTAGTTTGCGAAGAACGCAAAGACTTTCGAATAGCTTCGCGGTGTACTGACTGGAACTCAATCACGTTACTGTACATGCCGCTGAAAGCTAGAGACTCAAGCATATAAATCTCTTGCTTGGTATGGTCCTCAATCTCGGACGAAGACAACGCCTCGATATGCGGCTGTGATTCTTTCAATCTTTTGATATCCTTCCTCCAGAGCCGCTTCACAATAGCTTCATAGACTTGGGTCATCGTCTTGAACCCTTCATTGTTTACCAGAGTCTTGTCCCAAACAATGCAGAGTGCGTCTAACTGAATCGGGATATGGACGAGGCTTCGCATCAGCGGGCTTTTCTGGAGGAATGATTGGATATTTTCGGATACTGCCGGGGTCGAAACTGCTTTGAGGTAATCTTCCACCTGATCAGAGCGGAAGCCGATTGTTTCCACCTCCAGATCAGGTTTCTGGAAATCATACGGAATCGAGACGTGCGGCCGGGTCGTAATGATGACGTTCATCCGGTTCAGCAGCCCTACAAGAAAATCAAACATGGAAGGGTTGCGTTTGTCTAAAAGTTCGGAGATTTCGTCTAGACCGTCGAGGATGAAAAGGGTGCCGCGGGATGTGGAATTCTCCACATGCTGTTGTAAGGCGCTGGCAAGAGAGGCGTCGTCTGGATGTTGCTGTAGATAGATATGACGAAGCATCCCCGTCAGACCGTGCTTTGGACCGTTCCACGTTTTCAGGTTGCGCAGCGGTACCCAGAGTACGCTAGCAAACAGACTGTTCCACATCTCCATTTCAACGAAGTCGTGTACGATCTTCTTGCACAGAGTAGTCTTCCCGACGCCGGCACGACCACGGATCAGGATTCGTCTTGGCTCTTTCATCTGACCGTCTGGTTTCTTTCGCGGCTCAAAGAGCTTTGATAGCTCGACCTGAGAATCTTTGTGTGGCGTTTCAACCTTTAGCCGAGCAGCAAGGGAGAATTGATCGGATTGAAGTGTATGGTCTCCAGACCTCTGTTTCGAGTCGTTATCTCGTGGCGACTCTATCAGTGAGAGGTTGATATAGCATTTGTCCATCGGCAAAGTATCCCCGGAGAGCCTTTCGATTCGTAGCCTGTCCTTGTTGTAGTGCTTCTCGCGTATCCACGCATTTGCCTGCTCAAGCGGCGTCCCCTTGCGGATGTCTTCGAGGAAGGAGAGAATTGATTCCACGACGAGTTTGTAGTCCGCATCAGAGTCTTTTGGGCCTTGGAACTTATTCATAAGGACATGGCTTCGGTCGAGTTGGAGTGGATTTGGGACGCAGTCAAGGACTGCCGAGCTCATGCTGACCAGCTAGCGACTGTTAGCAAGCTGGCTTTGAAGGAATGTGCGGTACATTCTTACTTGTTTCTTCGATGGCGGTAGTAAAAGGGACAGGAGAGGGACCTTGGCTGGAAGGCTTGTGTAGCGCGTCTCGTAGAAAGTAAGCACTTTGTAGCCTTGATGATCGTTGTTGTCATGACAAAGCTGAGTGAATTCGCTGGCAAGGCGGGTGAGGTTGAATGTCGGCGACTTCACCCAATCCAGGAGACCAGTCACTCGGCGGCCTTGGACAGAAGCCCACGCTCTTAAGCCTGGCTCTGCCCATCTGGCCACGTCCTCAAACGACGTTCCTCGGAATGGTGTAGCGAGAAATATGATGCCGCGTGTCGCGTTTCGAACCGAAAGATATGCATCGCTGGCCATGACGAGGGCCTTCATCAGGATGATGCCCCCGAGGCATGACGCAACGAAGAGGATCGGTCTGTCCTTATGATGCGGCCTATCGTTTGTCGCAGGTGGCCGTCCTTTAACCCCGGCGAGTAGGAGTACAGCAAGTTCTTGAATGGTGTCTTCTTCTGCATCCAGCGTTCCGAATAAATCAGCCGGCCAGTCGCAAGTAAAGATACGAGCATTGGAGACTTCTGCCGGCAGCATATGTTCGTCCTGTAGCCAGTTCACTTTGTGGTCGTTCTTCGTTTTATACTCCCAGGTCTCTGGCGACCTGGTGTCGAGGCCGTGTACAGCAATGATGTCAATGCCTTTCTCTGGTGCGAAACTATCGTCAGCAAATGGATTGACCTGCCGCAGCCGGACGCCACGCTGGTTTCCTTGGCTTTCCGCGGCCAAAGTCGTTTTTGGTTGAGGAGCATGCGCAGGCCCGAAAAACCAAAAGAAAGCAGCGGTTGCGACTCCGGCCAGCAGGAGGACCAACCAAGCCGACGCCATTACGAGAGAGTCACTTGGACTAAGGTGGCGACTCAGTGTTATGGCTGCATAAGAGCAGTTTGTTTGAGATGCTGGATATGGAAAGATTTCGGCGGTCATCAACTGGCAAGCTGAGCAAATCGCATCAGATCTGAAGCTGGTGCACTGCGGCGCTGTCAACGATGGTAGGAGAAGATGCGATGATGAATGGCCATCTACTGAGGGGTAAAGACGTGGAGTGGAAACAACAGCGAAGGGCATGAAAGGCGGCAAAACTGCCAGTCTCAGCAGTACATAGCGTACTCCACGCAGTGTGATGCGGGTGCCTTAGCGATCCACAACGGCTGGAAGTCGTTGCTTGAATGCGAAGGCAACTGGCTGTGATAACGAACGCCCATGCATGCATGGGATATGGTCTCGTCCTCGTTGGGCGCTACTAGTCATCACCCTACTGGCCCAATACCGTGGCCCATGATCACCAATCTGAGATGCGAGAAGGTCGGGAGCTGGGATCATCAAACACAGTTGGGTGAGACTGACATTCGTCCTCAGAGGTCATTGAGGCCCCCGAGTACATAGTGCGTGAGTAGCCATGCAACACCACGAGTCTGCATCCAAAGCTGGGAGTATGCCTTTGCAATATATAAATGATGCATTGCTGTACAAGTTGGGCGGACGCCGCTCGCGACCCTCATCGAGCAAGGCAACGTTAAGATAATGGCGCAGCCACACCGCGTGAGTATCTTCGACGCATATAGCTCTGCCGCTAATGGTGTCTACAGTGCGCACCCTTTTCGCAACGGCTCCTTGCGGACGCCAGTCTTGAGGATAACCTCCTGTCGCTCCTCCCGGCGTCAAAACGGACAGATGACGATGATCTAGAATGCCTCACTGCGACACACCAATCAACCGATATCCGGAGATGGGTGAGCGAGGAGGTTGACGTCGACCGGCTGGACGATATCCACGAGTGGCTGTGGGTCGTCGGTCGGCCCATGCCCCCGCGTCCGCTTCACCACCAGCGCCTCCTCAACCGCGCGATAGTCGTCACGGAGCGGCCGGACATGCACCTCGTGTGGACGAGCGACCGTATCTTTCTCAAACCACTGCCACGCTTTCTCCTTGACGCGAGATTCTGGGAAGAGTATTTGTGTCGTCACAATGTGCCCCAGGCCGACGCAATGCACGCGCGCGCTCTCGGCTTCCTCTTCTCATACGCGGCCCTGATGATGCATGAGAGCGACTTCCGCATTGCGAAGGAGACGCACCTCATACCCGAGGAGCTGCAGTGGGCGGCATGGAGGGTTGCCGTCGGGCAGCTGTTGGACGTCTCTTCCATCTACTCCTGTGTCGACCGACGTTTCCACTACGGCGAGCTCCGCCTCAGCCGGCTGAACAAGATCTACTTCTTCTGGAAGACACCGCTCCACGGCTACATGTCTCGCTGGAACCAGTACGACTCGTTCTTCCACGACAACTTCGCGCTGCTGGCCAGCTCGACTATCTACATCGCCGTCGTCCTGACGGCGATGCAGGTCGGGCTTGCGACGGAGGCCCTCCAGAATAATGAGGCCTTTCAGTCGGCGTCCTACGGCTTCACCGTGGGCCGCTGGCTGCCGCTGCTCTTGTCGTTGTCGTGTTCTGCTACCTATTCGTTGGCAATTGGGTGGCCACGCTGCACTATAGCAGGCGGAGGCTAGGGCGGATTCGGCCTTAATGTTGTCAGCGAGGTTGCCACCTCGATTGGCGAGGGTTAGTGCGGCACGTTCATAGGACTAGCGGGCATTAAGTCCTCTGCAGCTGCTGGATCCCTGAGGCATAACATCAGATGTACCTAGACTGAAGTGGAAGAACATTCTTATGAGGGCCGCGACACGTTACGTGAAGATCCAACCGGCGTCAAGCCATATACAGCAGCTGAGCTTTGCTACCGTCACCACTGAGCGCCACAACGGTGACTGCTTTTGTGGCCTGTACGGTGCTGATAAGCTGTCCAACAGAGACGAGACTCCTGACTGCCTGCCGAAGCGGCAAACCCGAGTTGATCGGATGCCGCGAGGACAGAAGGGGTTGCAACGTAACAGAGTGACAACCCTGCCGTCGTCGGCCTCATTGGGCCCCAACCTGCTTCGCATGCTGTGGCAGGCGCTGCAATCAGCTCCGACTTGGCCTACCTGGACTCCCGGGTGCCCTCGGGACCGCATTGCCCGAGGCGGTGCGAAGCTGGATGTTGCTGAGCGGTCCGTCATCGACACTCCCAACATACCACGGAGCTGTTAGTGCTGGTGGGCCTCCTAAACGGGCTGGGTACGGATCGCCTGCTAGCTTCCCCTTCCTCGTGCCCAAGCGCGTGGAAGCCACACAGATCGCTCCTGTACATAAGCAAGGCGCCCTAGCAGACAAGATGCAGCCATATCTTTGCTGACCAGTCTACGGCGCTCTTTGGCTTCACAATAAGGGACACAGAGCTGTGTATCAACCCTGCTGACTTTCAGGCCCCTGCGAGTGGACGGCGTGCCCAAACCCCTCACTTGGCTCCGCGCAAACAAGCTGGGCATGGTTCAATCGCAGGTAGTAACACGCACGCAGCAGCAACTGCAGCCCACGCTGCTTACTGACACTCCCAAGCTCGTCTGGCTGATGCAGATTTCTCCATCGTCACCGTATGGCCTGGCTGCAACCTGAGCGAAGCGGAGTGTATCTGCTGAAGCGCCGTGATGACTGCTCTCACGATTGGGATCTCGCCGTCATGGGCTTTGTGGGTAGCAGCACATGCTGCACTGCTCTATGCAGCGTACCGATTCGTCGCCCCTTTCGTCGCCAGGCTCAAGCCTGGACAGCGCAATGCACGCGCCGACGGTCTCGATATTGTCTACGATCCATCAGAGAACCAAACTACACTCAGCCCTCAATTCGAGTGAGGAGTCTCCGCTCACAGACACATTTCTCGACAACTGACCTCTTTGCAGGATTGTCGCTGTCCACAGCCTCGGCGCGCATCCCGAGCACACCTGGGAGGGCAAATCAATCTACAAAGTCAAGCCGAAAGTTCACCTCCTTCGAGACCTGCTCCCACGCGCCTTCCCGACCGCAAGAATTCTGTCCTTTTCGTACAACTCCGACTGGCTAGTGGATGCGCCCGAGAAAACGGCACAGCAGATCGGTCATAGACTGGCGGAGAGACTTGCCAAACGTCGGGGCGAAGCGTTGCGCCTTCCCATCATCTTCATCGGGCACAGCTTCGGCGGTATCGTCATCAAACAGGTACGGCCACCGTTAGACATCTTTTTTTCTTTATTGAAAGCATGGCACAGGCTCTTTGCGTGATGGCCGGGTCTTCGAGTACGCTGGAGGACACATGCGGCATCATCTTCCTCGGAACCCCTCACCAAGGGTCGTCACTGTCTATCGCAGCATCTCTTTTAGGCAAGCTGACCGCCATGCTCGGCTCCAACACAGCGCTGCTCCTCGCCCTACAAAGCAATCACAACCAATTGTCAGACCTGGAAGACAATTTTCGGCGTGTCGCTGCTGACAAGCAAATTACATCGTTTTACGAGACGAAGCCTACGTTTTATCTGGGATTTTCCATCGGCTGCGTACGTCTGCCGTCTCACTGCGTTGAGCTTTCCTAATTCCACGCAGATTGTCAACAGAGAGTCGGCCAGAGGCTTTGCAAAAGATCCTGTCAGTATAGACACAGATCACGCGGGGCTCAACAAGTTCAATAGTCCAGCTCACCCCGGATTCAAAGCAATCAAGACGGTCATTGAGAAGCTTCGCGCCAAGCCCCTCATTCAGCAGGCCGACGATGTCTTGATCAACAAACACTATACGAGTGCAAAGCTCATGATCAAGCGGCTATCGGGAGAAGAATTACCAATGGATCAATGCTACATCAATCTCGCCATCGTGGAGCAGGTCCAAGCGAAGAAGCCCTCGCAAGACGAACAGGAAGCGAAAGACTCTGCGCCAAAGTCATCGCCATTCTCGCTCTTTGCGCGACTCAACGTCGAGACATCATCAGATGAAAGTCAAGTCCAGTTGAAAGACCTTTTTAGTCAGCGCAAAAGAACTGACGGGACGGAAATATCTCCCAGGAGGGTTTTGATCCGCGGATGCGCTGGGGTCGGCAAGACCACCCTATGCAAGAAGATTGTGCACGAATTTGTCGGCGGCGGCATGTGGCGCGATCTATTCGACCGTGTGCTCTGGGTACCTCTGAGGAACTTGAAGGAGCGACCAGCCCCTGGGTACAACCTCGAGAGATTCTTCTTTGACGAGTTCTTCCGGCTTCAAGGAGACTGTCCAGGCAAACTCTTTGCTAAGGAGACGGAAAAGGGCGTGAAGCACGATCGAACGTTGTTTATTCTCGATGGATGGGATGAAGTGAATCAGATTGCTACCGCAAACTCTGATATGTCCCGTTTTCTATGCGACGAGCTACTCCGCCAGCCCAACATGATCATCACCTCGCGGCCATACGCTAGCATACCTGTTCAGGGCCAGCCAATTGACCTGGAGCTGGAAACAATAGGGTTCAACCCAACGCAAGTGGACGAATACATCGAGAAAACGCATGACAAGACGGATGTGACGAAGGTCGACGAAATCAAAACTTTCCTGCAACGCCACGAGCTCGTTAGAAGACTTGTTCGGATACCCATACAGCTGGATGCTTTCTGCTACTGTTGGGATGACAACAATTACAGCAACAACAAAGTTGACACCATGACTGCGCTCTATCAAGCCATCCAAACAAGCTTGTGGAGGAAAGATATTCCGCGGCTGGGAGAGGAGCATGGGATACCCACAGCTCAGACCAGCGAACTGAAACACAGTGACCAAGTACTTATCGAGATGGACGTGAGAGAAGAAATCGGATTCCTTGAGCATCTTGCTTTCGACGGATTGGTGGCCGATAGGCTGGAGTTCGACTGGGGCGACATTAACAGGACATGGGCCAAGGAGATCACGCACGACAGAACTCGTTCGCCTGGCAACACCCTACCATGCCTCTCGTTTCTGCGCACTTCAGATCCGTCAGCCAATTCCGTTGGCCAGTCACATCACTTCATTCACTTGACGTTTCAGGAATACTATGCAGCACGATATTTCGTGCGACATTGGAATTCTCACCAATCATTTGAGCCCAATCAACAGAGTCAAGAGCCAATTATGCCTCATACGTTTTTACATAAGTACAAGTACGATGCACGATACGATGTCATGTGGCGCTTCGTCGCCGGACTTTTGGATGACAAGAAGAATGCGGGTTCTTTCTTCAAGGAAGTTGAACTAGGGCCTGTTGATGTTTTGGGACCAGCACATCAACGCCTCATCATGCATTGCTTGAATGAGGCACTAAGATTACCGGATGAACTTCGAAAGGACATAGAAGACAAACTATTTGACTGGGCACTGTTTGAGAGAGACTTCACAGGATCCTCAACGTTCATGAGAGAATCAGAGATACCGGAAGCAGTATTGAAACGTGCTATGAGAGCTTCTGGAGATAAAACAGTCTTCTTGAAAGTATTAAGGTATTCTGAGAGGCATCTATCAGAAGCAACCATGGCCGCCCTTGTGGAACTCTTCAAGCATGAGGACAGAGACGTACGATCGTCCGCCGCCTATGCTCTACGCAAGCAGTCGACGTTATCAGATGCAACCATAGCCGCCCTCGTGGAACTCTTCAAGGATAAGAACAGAAATGTACGAATGTCTGCTGCTAAAGCTCTAGGCAACCAGTCGACGTTATCAGACGCAACCGTGGCCGCCCTTGTGGAACTCTTCAAGGACGAGGACAGCTTTGTACGATCGTCCGCCGCTGGAGCTCTAGGCAAGCAGTCGACGTTATCAAACGCAACCGTGGCCGCCCTTGTGGAACTCTTCAAGGACGAGGACAGAGACGTACGATCGTCCGCCGCCTATGCTCTACGCAAGCAGTCGACGTTATCAGATGCAACTATGGCCGCCCTTGTGGAACTATTCAAGGATGAGGACAGCGACGTACGAGAGTCCGCCACCTATGCTCTAGGCAATCAGCCGATGCTATCAGACAAGATATTGGACGCATTAGGGCTCAGTATTCAGCCACAGACACGTACCCAATTGGTACCTTATAGTCTGTGTCATTCTCAAGACGTCGCAGTTTTCTATGAAAGCTTCTTGCGGCGTAGCTTCAGAGAGCATTTCAGCCTTCATGTCGGTGAAACGTTCTGCATCATCAACCAAGCATCTGTGATAAGAAAGGCGACATTGCAAGATCAACGGCAATTCCAGGAAGCAATCAGAAGAGCGCGGGACAAGTTAGAGCAAGACCTATATTTACCGTCTTTATATCTCTCTTAGCAGGCTGAATAAATACAAACAATCCACCATAGGCGGTTCCAATAATGTCACAGTCTGCGGGGCCACTGACTAGGTGGCCGTTTACCAGGATGACGGAGCAAAGTTATGTAAAACTGCTGGTGGAAACACTGTACTAAGCGAAGAAGACTGACGTTGACTTCCGAGGTGGGAGCTCGGGAAAGATCACCAATTTGGAGGGATTATGCTATCTGAGTTTCGGTCGATGCAACTATATCGGCTTTTATCAGTATTGGCTTTGTGAGACAGGGCAGTTCATACATTCAGCTTACGTATCAGTCTCCCTCATTCAGTTATATTGACCTCAGAGAATATCGGGTGTAGTCAACAGAAGAGTTCTGATCTACGCCTTACCTCGCGCTACTATCTCGTGGTACTAAACCTGTCCGTTGGTGCATAACTTTAGACGGTGCTGCTAACCTGCCACTTCATTTTTGTCGCGACAGCATGTTGTGGCCGTCACTATCAGATACTTGATCCAGCCTTCACCTGACATCGCCGTAGGAATAATATAAACCAAATACCCGGTCATCTCAATTGCTCAGGACCCCTCTTTCACGAAGGGAAAACCGCGCGTAGCACCTTCATGCGCTGTGCATCCTCCGATTTTTCCAACGCTTCCAGCACCATAATAGCATTGCTCACCCCGGTTCATCCTCCGCCTTCTCCCGCCGACTAAGTACCGTACTCGGTGCAAAGACAAAAGCTTGTCCTGTGTGTAGTGAAACAATCATAGAAAACATCTCCTCAATCGGGTTCTTGCCTCCGAAGCCTGAATTTCATCCTCTTCGTCAACGACCGTAACTGATATTGACGAAATACCTGCTAGGTGGGTTTTCAGTATACGTAGCCAGTCAGGGGAGGTGAAGCGATGCACGACCGTCATGGAACAGAGGTCGAGGAGTTTGGTTGACAGCGTAGGTTCTTGAGTCGAGATGAGGACGCGGACGCCTAGGTGACGCTGAAGACGGATAATCTCAAGGAGGGAATTCGTCAAGGTCTGGCTTTCCTCGGACTCCTTCATGAACTTATGAGCTTCATGGAGGGCAAAGACGCGGCCGATGGATGACTTTTTCTCCAGGAAGAGGGAAAGGCAGATGTTGAAGAGCGAGCAGGCTAACTCCGCTGTCACGCAAGAGCAGGAGAGGTCGACAACAATAAGCTCGCCAGACTCCGAATCAGACAGTTAGCTTAATCTTGGTGGTTATCGTGGGAAAGAGGGTCTTACCTTGGGCTGCCAGTCAATCTTCCCAGTCACGCCAGCACTCTGTCCCTTAACCACACTCTTTCCCTTGACCACACCCTTGGCCTTGACCATGGACTCCTTCTTGGCAAAAAAGCTTTCAAGAGTATCAAGAAGCTGGTTCAGGGGGTTCAGCTGGCCTGCAGTCAGTTCTTCCGAGGCTAGGTATTTCCTGAACTTATCGTAGCTGAAGCTGAGTCCGGTACTTTGCTGCTCTAAACGCATATCTCGTCAGATGCGGTTGACCACTTGCATGTACAGCGGTTTCGAGCTGCCTTCTCCGACTGCCATGAGGTCGTTCATGCGGCGAGTGTTGAGGTCGTCATCACTCAGCTTCAGAGGCTCAATCTTGACATGCGGAATGTTGCTGTAGATACTCTGCGAGTTGTTAGAATCATGTAAGGCGAATTGGAGGAAATTTGGAACAGCGGAATACCTGAATTGTGCGGACGTTCGTTGGGGCATAGAGAACTCTGACTGACTCCTTCTCGTGGGATGCGATAAACGCAGCCTCACAAGGCAATCCGCCAGAGTTGGAGACGAAGCTGTCATAATGGAAGACGATTCCCGTCAGGGGATAAGGTAACTTGCCAAGCTGACTGGGAATGAGGCAGTTCTCAAGGAGGCACGCGAGCGTGTTGCTCTTCCCGGAGCCCTAGTTGCCGCAGATAAAGACGCTTGAGGGGCATGTGACGTTGTGGAAGAGACGAGCTTCTGCCACGTAGGATGAATCTTCCGATATGGGAGCGCCGAAGAGGCCGAATTTAGAGCGAGGCGGTTTGTTGATGAGTGGTGCAGTCAGAAGAGGGCTGGAGAGGATCTCGTCCTGATGCTGCTCTTGTGGGCTCAGGGCTAGGTGATTCATCTGAACGGCGAGATCGTCTGGGGACTCAGCCTGCGCAATGGCACCACCGCAATCGGAGGTTGCGGGCGATGGAATACTTTGTTCTGAAGACATTTTGCTGGATTAACAGACGAAACAGCTGTGAAGAGCTGAAGATGATTGTGGAATAGCTGGGGCTCTAGCGTGTGAGAGCTTTTATATAGATGGGCTGTTAGTGTACTTCCGTTACTAGATGATTAGAAGGGAATAGTGAATACCGGAAGGATTATGCTTGGTTGTAGATTTAAGGTGTAACAAGGCTTGAATCTCGTAAATATTCATTGAATAAGATGACTGAAATCATCAACACAAAGGGAAGGTGCACTAAGCCTGTAGGCTTCCTGTAGTGTGGTACACAATTGTGCTTTAGCAAATAAAAGAGGTTTACGTGCCTTTACGATTTCTGAGACATATCTGATCAGAGTCACAGGGCTCCTTAAAGAACAGAGAGTCGTTGAAGAGTATATCATCTTACTAAGCTCAAGGTGTTATGGGGACGTCTTTGATTCATGTGGCTGCTCTCTTTGACTTCATTGACCCTAAAATTAGAAGAATAAGATGGAACCCAAAAGAAATTTGTCAGAGATCACAGCACTCTTCAGTTGATGCGGAGCCGGTTGCCTTGTGGGGTATGGTAGACCTTCTGTGACTGTGACTGTGGCTAGATTGGAGCTGCTCACTCGCCCCAGGTCTGGGTACGTTGAAGTTGGACTGCTCTATAAGTGTTTCTCATTAGCTATTCGATTCTCCCATTAAAGCCAGCGACTACGCTATCTCCTGGACGAGCTGCCCTCTAAAGGCGTCAAGGTTATATACAAGACAGTAACGGGGGCAGGAATTACAAGGGCCTAGCTAGCTTTCATAACACATACAACTATAGCTGTTGAAAGATGTATTGGCGAATACTATCTTCGGAACTGCTAAAGCTCGGAACCCACCGTATCATATTCAATGCGATCGATGCATGGGCGAAGAAAAAGGATACTCATTCTTCAGGCGCGCCGGAAGCTATCAAAGAGGGCCATGGGACACCATAATTAGTCCAGGAAGTATTTTTTCCAATGCACCTGATACTGCACTATATAAGCGAAGACTACAAATTTCAAACCGAGCTCGGCCGTGTAATACAAGCTTGCCCCGTGAATACAAATAAAGCAGTCCTCCTCTTTCCAATTTTACCTCTAATGCCTTTTGCTTTCGGACCACAAGTTTGTCATTATACTAAATATCAGCGTTTGTTTGTTTGTTTTGTATTTAACGCCGTGGCGGCAAGGGCGCAGCCGCCCTTGCGGCAAACCTTGCAAAGGGTATGTGGCGTGGAGGCCCACAGGCTCTAGCTATATAACTACTCTGCAGTACACGCCGCTTCCCAACGTCCTCCAAGTCTTGCCCGATGCCCACTGTGTGATCAATCCATCCCTAGTTCCCACTGGTGCCCAAGTTCCGTTACAACAATCTGGTTTCCTAATAACTAGAGGTAATCTGTCGTTGAGAGGATAGGTTAAGTCCTCGAAACATCAGTGGGCCAACGTTACCGCAGCCTTCTGCAAACGTGCTCGACTGCTGCCACCCGGACTTACAATCCCCTTCACCGACCCTGCTATCAAGTCGGGCAAGAATACGAGGTGCAGAACCAGGCAGACTGGAGTAGTCACGTCACATGGTGTTATGGCGAGGAAAATGCCAGACCTGCCGCCAGCTGGCAGCGGTCCTCTAGTAAGCCCCTCCAGCGCTTGGGCCCATAGGGCAGGTTGAAGCGTCATACACATCACGTTCCTTCCACAGGTTGTGAGCCCAGCCCGATTTTTTCCACTATAACGTCGAATTACGCGGTTATCCCTACCTTTCTGCTTATCCTGACGATCGTCTCATCGTCTACGTCGTTTAACTGTTCTTCTCGTGCGCGGATTGGCTGTTTTCATCACCGACCGCCTCGTCTGTTCACCTTCTGACTCCGCAACGCGTCGGAACGCGTCAAGGCAGATTGTTCAGCAACCTCTCGATCGTACGCTTTGCGACGACGAGCAGATTCCGTTATTACAAGTCACAAAACGAGCGCGCGTAGGCCAGTCCACCGCCTCAAAAGTCAATCCTCTCACGTCGTACGCCTCGCGGCGACGCCTCCTACCTACCCCTCACGTCGACTCTGCTGACCGCCACCATGTCCGGCGAACGTACGAGAACGACGCCCGTCAACGTGCCGAAGTTACGCGGTAAATCGAACTGGACGACTTGGAAGGTCTCCATCGGCGCCACGCTCCGAGCTGCTAGAGTTGAGAAGTACGTCAAAGCAGACGTCCCCGAGCCCTTTGATGACAACGAAATAGAGGCTTGGATGATCGACCGCGACATTGCCACAACATCCTCATTATGGCTACTGAGAGCCTTATCGACAAGCTGCTTAATGCAGGCTGGGAGGATGACGGCGACCCATACAGGTTGATGGAAGCACTGAAGAAGTACGTCCCCAAAGTCTCAGAGGACGCCGTTGGCGCGCTCGTCAATAAATTCAACAAGGGCACTGACGAGGACTACAAAACACTTCATAACGCGTTCAAGCGTGCCCAATACCTTCGCAGCCGCATCACTAGCCTCGTCGGCGAGTGCTCTGATCACTACTGGTCCATCGTCCTCCTCAAATACTTTACGACGAGGCTTACAGACACATACAAGTTCTACACTACCAACAACAGGATGCCCACGTGGAATGATGTCGTCCAGACCCTTCTCACTCTTGCACAAGATGAAGAGCAGAAGATCGGCATTGCTGCCTTCAAGAAGACCACCAACGTCAGCCAGCAGAACAAAGGCAACAGGAAGGCATCCACCACATCGCCAGCCAACAAGTCCAGCAACAAGTGCAATCACTATAGCCATGCCCATGCCACTCAGCAGTGCATCACCGCCCATCCTGAACTTATCCCAGATGACTGGCCCAACCGCAAGGCCATCCTGGCGAGAGCCGAGAAGAACGCCTGCAACGCCAAGTGCGAGTGGGACGCCCCCAAGAACAAGTCGGTCCATGTTCGCGCCTCACCTGGCATTCTTAGTCAATCATCAATAGCTGATGTTGCTATCAGAAGGTCCACGGACGTCGCTGAGCAACCTGTCCGCGGTGACGTCAGCAAGACAGTGCTCACTGCTGTTGCTAACCAGAAGATCCTCCGCTCAGATATTATCCTCGACTCCCGCTGTTCTGGCTCTATCTCCAACGAGCGCAGCCACTTCGTCACATACGAGGCTAAGACTGACTTGCCTCCATACGAGGGTGCTAATGTAGAGTACACTTCGACCTGAAGACTGTCGACTGGACTATTGACAACGTTGAGTACAGCCCTTTGAGTCCAGCCAACTCATCAAAACAGTGTAGAAGACACATCTGCAGTGACTAACGATGCTACATAAATACCTCCAGAGACTTACCTGCAGGATGAACATGATGACGACTCATTTGAGATCGCTCTTGAAGATGATCACAGAGATCCAGCCTATGCTACATAAGCTATCGAAGAAGCAACTGACATGACAGTTCTGGAAGTGGCAGTACGAGCCGGACCCCGCCGAGCAGCTCAGAATCCGGAGGGACACTACCGTCAGCTTGCTGGCGTCCGTGAGTACAAAAAGAAGCTCTCCGCAGCCACTGACATCCAGGTTCCGGACCGCACTGTCACTTTGCGCTCAGTTCCATAGCTGCCGCCGCCCTTTCGAAGGCTCTACGCGATGACATTGTCATTTCGAAGTCCTACAACCATGCCAAGTCCAGTCCTCAGTGGTCTCACTGGAAGGCAGCATTCGAGCAAGAGATGCAGCAGTTCCACGACAAGGAAGTACACAAGCTCGTTTATCCTCCCCGTGATGCCAAGATCCTGCCCGGAAAGTGGGTGGTGCTTGACATCAAGACCAACAACAACAACAACAATGAGGACATTGCAACCATGAACGTGGAGATTGTGTCACGGGCTGGAGCCCGGATTGATATCTCCGGCTTCGCCGGAGCAGTTACCGAGATCCGGCTCCGTTGGATCCACTATTCTGCCGCAGTACGCCGCCTAACCCGGCCTGCTTCACCGCTGTTAGGCGCCTACCCTTGTAAAGTCCTTTCTTCCTTCTACAGCTTAGAATAGTCAATCGACGGCACCTCTACCTTGAACAAGCCTAGGGGCCAGCCCCTTACAGATTGGTCCTCTCAAGAGGTCTACGCAGCTGTTGCCACAGCCACTGCCACTCGCATGTTCTTTGCTATCGTGGCACTTCATGGACTCAAGTATGAGATGCATGACTTCGACATTGCCTTCTTGGCCGCTCCTGTTCCCAATGATGCAAAGGTCGTCTGTCAGCCTCCAGGTTTCTCGACAAATGACGGCAAGGTCTGGCTCCTTCGAAAAGCACCATATGGCCTTTGTAAGAGCCCTCTGTGGTGGTTCAACTACATCAGCGTTGAGATGCAGAAGCTTGGCTTCACCCCAGTCGATGGAGAAGTCTGCCTATTCACCAACAAGTCACATGGAGCCTACGCTCTCATGTACGTCGATGACAACGTCATCGCCGCTCCGAACAAGAAGATAACTAAGCAGATTCGCGACATGCTCAGCAAGGTCTGCCCCCTCAAGGCTCTTGGCGAAGCCACTGAGTTCCTGGGCTTCCAGATCATCAGAGACCGCATCAATAACCGAATCTTCGTTAACCAGACCAAGTACGCCAAGGCCATCCTTGCTCGCTTTAGGTACAAAGATGTCAACCCTGTCAAGACTCCCACAGTATCCCACGAGGAACGGCCGCCTACATGGGACCCCAAGGAGTGTACAGAAGAGGAGGGCACCATCTATGTCGAACAGACAAGTTGCCTCAACTACCTCACTACTATCACGCATCCTGACATCACTTACACTGTCGGCAAGCTCAGCCAGGCCAATGCTGGCCCTTCTAAAGCCTATCTACGTGCTATTAAGCATCTGTTCCGCTACCTCAAAGGAACTGTTTACTACAGCATCATTTTCGGCAGTTCTTCCCCGATGATCGACCTCAGCCTGTACGCTACGGCAGATTCATCCTTCGCAGACAACAAGCCCTCTCGTGTCTCAACTGGTGGCTACGTTGTTTACTTCGCTGGTAGCCCAGTTGCCTGGAAATCGAAGAAGCAGACCTTCGTTACCCTCAGTTCGACCGAGGCCGAGTACATTAACCTAACGCCCACCGCAGTCACCGTGATGTGGCTGCGTCGCGTGGTCGAGCAGCTCCTCGACCAGAAGATCCCTAAACCTACTATTCTCTTCACTGACAGTGCCAACGCATATGCCAACGTCATCAGTCCCCTTAACGAGGCTCGGACACGTCATATCGACCTCCGTTATAAGTGGATCATTCAGGAGGCTATTCGCGACAAAACTATCACGATTCGCCAGATCAGAGGCGATGAGATGCCTGCTGATAGCGAAGAGCCTCGGCGCTCACAAGCACGCCGAATTCGTCAGAATGCTGGGATTAGTAGAGGGTCTTGATTGAACACGACAGGACGGAGCGGAGGACATTGACCGACTCTGGAGAAGGATTGATCTAGAGCCCCGGCCAATCGGAGGCCAGGATGGCTACCCGGCGTCTCACCGACTTGTCGTATTCTTTCAAAAACTCCTCGTTTTGAGCTTGCTAGCTTGAGGAGTGATTTTGGCCAAAGTGGCCCATTTGTACGTTAGTTAGCCCGCGCTGTTAGGCCTGAGAGGGTGTCGGCAGTGCCCGTCACTCTGGCAGCCCTGCCGCCAGATGGCAGCGGTCCTCTAGCCAGCCCCTCCAGCGCTTGGGCTCACAGGGCAGGTTGAAGCATCATACACATCACATTCCATCCACAGATAATGGACGACGGTTCGTGGGTTCAGCACGCTGCAGAGCCTCACAAGGCATTAGGTCTCGACCGATGCGAACTATGTATGACATCCAACCATCCACTATCAGATATCGACCAGGCTGATGTGCACATGGAATAGCCTGTGAAGAGCACGAGGCGGCGTACAGAAACTACAGATGAGGTTGTGCGGCTAGTGGCGGGTGAAAAGTTGGCCCTGCTCTAAGTCATGTTGATGTTGGTTCTGGGGACGTCTGCAACGCGTGCGATACCCCCCTGTGACATATCGATTGATCCTCTGCTGTATAAAAAGACAAACTAATTGCATAGAATACAATTGAAATAGCAGACAGCCACAACACAGCCAGTTTTTAGTTTGAGGTGGTAGACTCAATTTGTAGGAGCTCATGCTTGGGCTCTTGAGTCCACCATAGATGATGTTCCCTTCGCAGTTCCCTCTCCTGCTTCAAAACCCCCTCCAGTTGCAGCTGTAACAGGCAACGTTTTTGCTCGCGCTCCAATTGCCGTCTTTTGTCGCTTGTGGTCTTTTCCATCTTGTCTGACTCGCCGTTCTTTTGCAAAGCCGAATACGTCGGATTCACCCGCAGTTGCTTTCCTGAACCCTCTGTCTGGCAGTAAGGACATTTGCTGAGAAATTGAAGCCCTGCTTCTTGTAGACATTCACTATGAAAGACATGACCTAGGACTCGTTAGGGGCCATTCTTGAAAGAGTAACAGTGTAGACTACCGCAACAAATTGCCACGAGACGCCTGTCATAATTATCATGACAGATCCCACATTCCACGCTGTAAAGTACCTAAGTGTCTTGCGGACCTCTGATATGATGACTGTACTTGGAGCAGATTAGACTGCTAGACGAGTTGTAGTCTTGGTAGTTTCTACAGCATGTTGAACATATGACCTTGGCTATTGTTAGCATGAGCCTAACGGCGCAGGTACAGGATGCACCCACGCAAGAACACGCAGTCAGGAGAACACGGTCCGTCAAGGGATGATAGCACCAGGCACAGAAGTAGGAAAACTCTGGCTCAGCATCCGATTTACTAGCCATTGTGTTACAACGTAATAATAAAGAAGTTGAAAAATGAAGAATCCAAAGGACCAAGCGAAAGCTCATTCTTTATTTATGCTTAGAGAGTAGAAACCAGTCTTACACTATCTTACAATCAAATACATGCTGCGTAGGCCCGCCACTAATCCGCTTACCAGACAGCAGTCTAGTTGAAGTTAGACCAGCTGGTTACATACTTCCGCTGCGTGACCTCGGCAGGCGTGGCATCCAGATTTGGCCTTGGATGAGACGAGTCCTGCTCGTTGGATGTGCTGCCATCATTCCTTCCAACAAACCATTCCTTATCAGGCAACTCGGCTATAGCAGTTTCTATTGCGGATGATAAAGGTGCCGTAGTTGCAAGCCCTATATCACCCATCCGGTAGGTTTGGGGTTCTGAGACATTATCTAACCGAGGTTAGAGATTTCATAAGTATGTATGCAATATGGTAACCTACAAGGCAATGATCCAGGCTGTTCAGCAGAGACCTGTTCCTCTGCATTCTCCCGGTCTCTGGAATGCAACCAGAGAAAGCATGAGAAAGCTAACACGGGGACAGCAATTGCGATGGCTAAAATAATTATGAAAAGTGGTGCGCCCTATATCATAGGTCTATCAGCCTCAGACTCCATCATCAACGCAGTAGGTGTGACAGCAGTCACAATAGTCACAGCAGAGGTGACAGAAGTAGTTAGGGCTGTAGTAGTACTGAGTCTCATTGTGGAAGAAAAGGTTGTAGTGGCTGACGCAAACGAAGAGATTGAGAATGAAGTGACGGCGAGGTTGTTAGGATAATCAGCCAAATCACAAGGATCGACTGCATAGCAACCATGAAACCCATTCTTGCTACAGACGTAGTAAGACTTTTGCTGAGCGCAGCTTCGACGATAAAGTTGTTGGTTCTGCATTGTCGTTCTAGTCTGGGATAAGAATTGTGTTTTCAAATGCAGTTGTCAACATTGATATAACAAGAATTTATTCGCCATCCTCTCCTCCAGATATCCGGCGCTTAGGGATTTCTAATTTAGGCAACGCTGTTCTATTCTGGGACCAACCGTCGGCCAACGACAGCCCAACCTCAATGTCCCAAGTTGCTGCTTTCTCTCTGTTCATATCGCACAGATGCCGACAATATATACGCCGAAAGGCACCTGGAGATGTAAGGAAATTGTCTCCCAGACACAGGCAAGATCATGAAGTACACGGGCGAAAACATGGAAACCGAACAATTGTGTCGCGAACCCACACCTGAGCAAGAGCTCTTGCCTGTTCAAGATTCCGTTCACACCAGAGCCACTACTACTCCTGACGACGACACTGAGAATGTAGGCATAAAGCCTTGCAAAGTGATCCTGCGGACTACTTGGAGCTCAGGTCGAGCAGTCAGAGCCAGACAGATGGAGAGACTGCGTCGTTGGAAACTCAATCTGGCTAAAAAGGCTCACGAATTCCATCGCGATTTCCAGCAAGACTTCAATGCAGATGTCTTTCTCATCGTGAGGACTGCAGGGAAGTACCTGATTTTTGACTCGTCCGACGACCCTGGCTGGCGTTCGCCAACCTATCTCGTTTGTTTGTCTTCCCAATCATGCCTTATGCACTATTGATAAGTACCTAGGACAGGACTTACCCCATTCCAAAAGTGTTCACACCAGAGAGCTTCGCACACGAATGAAGGGCTGCGAAAGGGACTAAGGATGGCGTCTGTCGCTGCGTTCAAACAACGACACAGGATTTTCTTCCCTAATCGAGGATCCTAATAAAGCATGCATTGATTCTCCGCGAAATATAATTCCTCAAGGTGATTAACTATGTGGTAGAAGATGAAGTCTGCGGCTACAATGACATGCTGCCCATATTCGGAAGGAGCCAGCAATCCCCAGAACCACTGCAATCCAAGAGTTGGCAGATGGAAGGAGAAAGACGCCGCGAAGTTCCGCTGGCCGATGAAAACACAAGTGTGCTTTTGTTATATGGTCAGGGGCATGGGTCAAGCATGGCAACGTATGAATTCCTATATAGTGCGTATAATCAATGGAGACACACTCTATATACGTATGATTAGTAATGGTACTGAACAGGGATAATAATGATTGCAAACGACCTGGGTCGCTGTGATGTTTGTCTGGCGATGTACTCATGGAAAGGCAAATGGGGCTTAGGTAAACATGTCGAATTAAAGTATGCAACTACTGAAGGAATCATCTTTATCTACTCAAATCAACTTCCACCGCGCGGCATTCGACTTGCCACGATCGTAGCGTTGTAACTGATGACTGAGTGTGCGGATGACTCAGACCAAACTTCTTCCCTCTAAGACGAACACAGTCTTGCATCAGAATAAGAGCATCTTCTTGTCGACCTCAACCATGCTAAGTGAATGCCAGGTTGTTCATGCTGGTCAGCGTGTCGGGATGGTCGACCCTAAGCTTCGTCTTGCTCGTCTCCATCACCTCCACCTCCAGCTTCTCGGCCTCCTCCCACCGGCCCTGGTTCCTGTACGTCGACGCCAGGTTAGCCATGCTGGTCAGCGTGTCAGGATGGTCAACCCCAAGCTTCGTCTTGCTCGTCTCCATCACCTCCACAAACAGCTTCTCAGCCTCCTCCCACCAACCCTGATTCCAAAATGTCGACGCCAGGTTAGCCATGCTGGTCAGCATGTCGGGATGGTCGACCCTTCAGCTTCGTCTTGCTCGTCTCCATCACCTCCACAAACAGCTTCTCACAGCCCAAAGACCCTGAGTGCGATCGCATTACCAGTCGAGAAGAGACGAGAGACGGCTGGTACAAGTTAAGCGTCAACTTGACTGGATGAAGAGCAAAAGCAATCAAGATAAACAAGAGCCTGTTGTATGAGACAACTCATATTGGTACAATCTCCAGACTATCTGGAATTTTTGCAGGAGCGGCGACAAAGTCATTCCTTGAGTCGTTCGTGAATCGATGCAAGGTCCCTATTCATGTTCCTAGCTCGGGGTGCAAAACTTCAAGCCACCTCGTGAAGAAGTCAACTTCATCATCTTCCAGAGTGTTGTATCTATGTGGGTTTAGCATAGTTGCAAACGAGTAGCATATCGAAACTCACTGTATCGGCTCGATATTCTGTCTCAACACATTGAAACATCTGCGCGCATTCTGAAATCTAATGACTGTCTCGTCGGGTCGAATGGTCGAACCTGGCAAGTATCTTAAGACATCGCAATCGACACCTTTTTCAAGCTTCTGCAGAACGCGTCCTTCTTTCACATATTTCCAGTAAGGAGTGCTCTTAGGACTTCGCGTGACCAACCCGGTCGCTCTGCGTATGACCTCACTCTCAGCCGTCTCGCGATGAACTTCCTTGCTTTGTCCTGGTTGGGCATGCGTGTTCAAACTTTGCTGGAGCTCTGCTCTCCTGGCCCCGTCGCCAGCAGGCTCATCAAAACTTTTGCCCCTTTGATTGTTGGGTTCGTTCCTCGTTCCCTTGGACAATATCGTTGTTTGCTTCGCCCGTTGTTTCGCTTGTTTACTCGATTGTGCCCTCTTGAATGCCCTCTCTTTTTCGTTCTTTTTCGTCACAATATCCAGCTGAACCTGAAACTCCTTCGCAATCTCGATCAGAAGCTTCCTATGCTGAAAGCTATGTGACTGAAAGAGAGCTTTCATCTCGTTGATTTCATGAAATAACTCTTTTAATGAGCATGAGCCACTGCTCAACTGGGGGATACTCTGTTCGTTTACCGGAAGAGGCCGGCATTCCAAGATCATCTGGATCAGACGGGCTTTTTGTTCGATCCCGAGGGCCGATTTAGCATCGTTCAATGCTTCAGCAGCCTGGCCGATAGCACGACCGCTAACTCTGGAGTACTCATGCAGGTCACTGAACAGACAGTGATGCCTCCCCTCAGTGCAACTTGCCTCGTTGGCGTCACTGATATGCGAAGACTCAAACATCGATTCAGGGGTATTCACGACGTCGAGGTCCATCTGCTGCGTATGATCTGGGAGGAGACCGGAGGGAACTCCCGAGTGAATGAGAAACCTACGAAAGTATCTCTCCCTCAACTCAGGTCCCGTAGGCCATCGCCCATCGTTCTTCAGCTTTGCCTCGAGGTAACAGTCCAGGGCAAAAGCGCAGAGAAAAGCGCAACACAAATCGTCAGCGTAGGGTCCAAGCTAAACAGCATTAGCAACAAGCCAAAGCTTGGAAGGCTTCAATAGGTGAATCGTACATCATGGGACCGCCTTTCGAGCTTGAAAGATCCTCCAGAGACCTCAGAGGCAAGAGCCTCTATTCTTGAGCCCTAGTAACGAAAGGAATCGTTTTGCATCCCGAAGGCATCAAATATCCTCGTGCCCAGATGGACAATTGCGATAACCTAGTGATTTGTATTCCTGCTTAACATCTGGTCAGATAGGTTGACGTTAATAGGTAAGACGAGGCCGTTTACATCCATGGAGAATGCTTTGAACATAGGATATAGGAAGGCTTGATTAAGCTTCAAATGCAAAGGGTTGACAACGAATAATCTGGAGTCTTCAGTAATCATACGAAGAAGTTAAAGAAGAACAATATCGTCAACAAAGGTGCCTAGGAGGAACTAACTGAGCCTTTATCTGAAATATGATTCATTCTAGCAATATAGCTTTTTGGCGTCAACGCATTCAATCGCAATGTTGATCAACTTATTAAGTGATTTCATATGGCTGTCGTCATCTATATAAGGGCGGGTCTCAATAAGTTCATCATCATGAAGAGCCTCTCCATTGGACTCAGACGAGAGGATACCTAGAGACTCTTTGTCGCTAGCAAGGCCAACAGCAATACTAGGCTAGTTGTCCAAGTTAGGACCAGGAAAGTGGTTGGCCAATTAGGCATCTGATTAGTTGTTAAGGACACCATCAATACTAATGGTAGCGAGGACAGTTTGCCCAGTATGCTTAGTAGGTTTAACTTCAATCGTGGACTCAGCTGAAGACTGGGCACCAGGTATAGGACTTGCCTCGATACTGGATTCAACGAATAGGCTGAGACTCCTAGGGCTGGATTCAACGTAAGGTTTAGTGAAAGCTCGGTCGCTGCGCAGTTCAGCCGCAATACCTTACATCGTTTCAACGCTGTGTTGGAATCCAGGCTCGGGAGCGGCACAAGGCATTGCGCTTGTATCTAGAGGATCATATGATGGTGATATTTCCAGCCGGCCTAAGTCCATCAGGTCGCTGCTTTGCAGTGCTGGAAAATTCCAGTCCAATAGACCGTAGTATCCTTAACTAGTACAGTGAAAGGGAAGGACTTATGTTTCTTCGGTCTCCTCATTCAATAGCTGCCCATGCTGTAAGGTGGAAGATCGGATGGGTGCTTCTTGCTCGCCGGATTGTGGTCGAGATGGTGGATCGGACAGAGCATATCGGTGGGTCTCCTCCAGTTCTACATAGCCGAGGCCAGCGGAGTCTGCTTGAAAGCAATGAGCTCTTGATTCGATGGTACGAAAGAATTACTCACCAAGCCATGAGGTCCATGCGGAGATCTTACCACGCAGATGCTCAACAGCACTGTCAACATCCCCAAGGAATGTGAACCCTAAAGCGCCATAATCGGAGATGAAAACATCCGGACTGCTTGCGCCCAGCGGATCCAAGGACCTGAGCCGATCAACGTGATCTTGAACATTCTTGTCGAAGCTGGCCAAGACTGTGCTCACATCTTTCTGCAACTGTAGGATAGTGGGACTCCAGCAACTCATGGCTGCTCTCTTTATCGAAAGAAAGCGGAAGCAAGAAGGTAAAGGTGCATAATCGTTGTTCTATCCGTTTGACAACATCACGTCTGCAAACAAGTAAGCACCTTCTTTCCGCCCGATATAGGTATTCATAGACTTGCCATGAAGGCCACCACCCTGCTGGCCGCGGTGCCATCCTAAATGTCTGGCATCCATGAACTCTGGGTGCTGCGCCGCAAGCCTACGCCAAAGCAAGCCGCAGCAAGAGCGTAAGAGCTTTCTCAGATGCGCCTTCATAGCTAAGCCAGTGTCACTAGAACTGATGGCGTTCTCGGTCTGGGGAATGTAGAAGATTCGAGATGTTGAGCTCTTGTTCCACGTCAAGCAGAGCTTCAACTCGCGCAAGACAAGAAAGCAAGATGTGAGGGAGGCCGAGCCAGCCGGTCAAGCAGGAGGGCGGGCGAAATGATCAATACAACCTGGTGTTAGAAGATGGTGATAGCAAGGTTTAGGGATAGCATCATGGATTAACGTTGATGGCGTGAATTGGCGGATGATCTGATTGGATATCTGATGAAAGAGCAGTTATCCTAGCAAGTTGCGCCTATCCTTATCGAGATAGCTCGCTAGAAGAACTAAGCAGCATCAACAAGGTAAAGGATATAGACTGGTAGACGCCATATTTAGCGCAGACACAATCAAACACCAATAGCGAGTAGGGATGAAAGGGCGTTAGTTGATATCATAGTTCAGACGGCAGCAAGCTGGTGGTAGTGATTAGGTATGCAGGTATTTTTGCCGATTTGATTGACGGCCGCTCATAGGTTATGCTAGAGGCATCGCATCGCCAGTCAAGTGATCATTGCTCAGCGCACCCCACTCACACCATGGTGCACAGGCTTGGAATTCTTGGTTCCTGCCGGGGTGCGCCGGCAAATCGCAAATGTGGGCTCGTTTGCGCCGCAGTCAGAGATACCAAGAGTTGACGTGGGCACCTTATTCGTATTGATTCACTGCATGCGAGTTACCAGCCTCGTACCTCCCGACATGAGTTGTCCTTCACGCCACCTGTGTCTTCTTGTCTTTGCTCCGCGTTGGCTCACGCTCAGGGAACGACGTAGCAGGCAGTCTCTTTTGCCCTGTAGGGAAAGGAGCTTCCACGGTTGTGTTGCACTGGGTAGCTGATCCTTGCACGATTTCGAGGCCGGTTGAGATTAGCAAAGATCACAGACCAGCAGGGATTATCGTTATGTTGGAAACAGAACTGAGCTGTTGACCTTGATTCTGATGATGTCTTTCATGGAATGTGATTGAGAGTCTTCCGGAGCACTTCCCCGGCGATAGCGGCCTTCAATCTCGGCGTTGGAGCCTTTGAGGCCAAACCGCCGACGCGACAGAGAGAAGTTGGGTGGACTGCCAAGGGTGGGAAAAGGCCTCCACTCGAACGCCAGAGAGGCCTCGGTTTTACGTAAATGACAAGCATGAACGTTGTATCGGCCCCCAGCCCCCAACTGGATTGGTGTCTGTGATGGATGGGTTTCGCGGATGAGGGGCCAGAGACGGGCTACACGTTGACTGTCTGACAGCACATGTATTCTTGCCCGTCACTAGGACGGATAGGTTTCAGAAACACGCTCAGGTTCGCATTCAACGCCATAGAGCGTTGAAAGCTTCAATAGAGTGGACCTTCCAGACGTTATTAACTTTCAGACCCTTACAGGTATATCCCTGCTAAATTTACGAAATGAGACACCTCTAGCGATCTCAAGCAATCACCTGCCACCACTGCCCCAAACTAGCAGCATTGCTTTCTTGATCCAGCGCCAACGACCCATCTGCCTGGATAGGGGCCGTCTTCACAGAGCTTATCTGCTCCAATAGCGTGCGCACCAGACCTTCCATGTTTCTGTTGATAGCGTTCCACGCTTCTTTCCGCCCAGGCCCTTCGTTAGGACTATGGCATTATTGATTGCGTTCCATCCTCACTAACTAAGTGGTACCATCCATCACCGCTGTGAACGCTTTGCATCTGTCGTCTTCGCACAGTTCTTTATATCCACAGTTGTCTCTTTCAGGTGCATCAACCCCATCATTCATCTCGCAATGAGGCTCTGTAGCGTCGCCGAGCAAGGAGGCACTAGTCAGTGATCTGTCGGGCGTGTAGTGCACGACCGCAAGAGAGCTGGACCTAGGTGGGCAAGCGACCACAATCTCCTCAATCGCATTGCTGTCATCTGCTAGCAGATATCAGCAAGTTTCACGCTGTTGCTTAGCTTTAAGATACGCACCGGTTAGCATGTTTCTAGGTGCGTTATGACGCTTAGCGGACTTCAACACCTGGTACCCCTCATCCAAAGCTCTCTTGAATCTCTCGTTGTTCAGCTCCGCTTTGTCCTTGTCGCAGCCTGTGACTCGAACGCCAAAAGCCTCAATGACGGCTGGGAGGGCAGCTGAGGGTCTGTTGTGAGCGTAGCCCTTCAGGTGGGAACCTGCAGCTGTGACCGCTCTGTATAGAAAGTGTATATTGTGTTCGTCGCATTAGAGGATAAACCAATCTTTGCCGTACTGGACTATTCGGTGCTTGTACTTCGCATCTCTGTTGTTGTAAAGCCTGTTGAAGTCGACTGTCTTCTCGATGGATTTCGTAGCCGGAGTTGCGTAGCAAAGTCTTTTGCCTGGCGTCGCGGGCGCGTCTTCGACCGGTCTCTTCGCTGGAGATGCTGGGATGGATGCAGGTGACGCTGGATGATACGGAGTTTGTTTTTCGTGAATCGACGCCAAGTCATCAGCATGGCCTGCGGCATCTCCACACAAGTCAAAGGAACATTTCGCTGAAGGAGATATTACAGGCGACGCGCTGTTCGAGGAAGTCGGATGTCCCCCGCATACGAAGTCAAGCTGCGACGTCAGCATTGCCCACAACGTCGCGATGATGTTGCTTACCATGTTTTGAGTGTTTGGAAAGGCTGAAACCTTGCGCCTGTGCTGGACAGCCGCCTCGTAGGCCTCCTCGATCTCTGTCTGGTGTTCACAAGCAGCATCTTCCTCCTGTCGACACGCCTTCATCTGCTGCTGTAGCTGTATCATTCGCTCTCGAATCGCTTTAATTCTTGTCTGGAATGCTATGGTCTCTGCGTCCAAATCTCTCTTCGCTGCGGTTTCCCGCTCTTCTGCACTGCGGCGGATATCATTCAGCTCACGGCCGAAACGCTCCACCGCAGCATAGATGTCGTAGGAGAACATCGTCGTCAAAATGTGTAACAAGTACTGCTCTATTTTGCGGATATGGTGGAAGACACAAGCAGAGCAAACATTTTGCAGACGAAGTAGACGGGACGAACGCGGGGAAGGAAATGCACTCCCAGTGCAGAGACTTTTGACAACACGTAGAAAGACGCAAGATACGTTGCGCCTGTGGTTCCCTGAAGGCTCAACGGATCAAGCGCCGGGGAAGCTGAGCTTTGCTTCCAATTGGTTCATGAAAGCTGGGGTTGCAACAGCGCCAACATCGAGACGTATTTAGGATGAGTTGCCTGATCTGCGCGCAACATCGCTCATAGTTCGTTATCGCCAATCCTTGCGAAAGTGCTTTGGGTGTGGATGAGTGGAATATTCAGAACGCTAGTGTTGGAGCCGGGGTAACATCTCTTTGCTTAAAACTTTTTGGAGCTTTCGTGTTGGAACCGGGTGACGATCATTTTGCGGACCTGGTTTTCTTTTCGCGGCGCTAGTGTTGGAGCTGTGATAGTGTTAGTGCCAAAGCTTGCTGTGACCAATGACCAGACTGTCGGGACAGCTCTCATCTTAAATGGCAATCATGTCCACTGAGAGATCCAAATCTGGGTGGAGACGTACCCCGTCGGCCTTCGGACTTCGCCTCGCCAGTATTTCCGTTTGTTGGTCTTCCCTTTGACCGACGCCTGTCTTTCCAAGGCTTGGATTTGTCAGTCGTTTGTCAACGATGATGGATTACATCTTGTCCTTGTATGAAGCATTGAGAGTGGTCTAGATACGAGGCGTAGAGGCGGGGTCGTGCATGCGATGCGTTGCATCATCCTGATAACCGGGTAGGAGGTCTTTTTCTACGGCAGAAATCCAGGGAACCATGCTGTCGTCACAGGGCTGCAGCGTCGTCAGGTCATTGCCCCGTCGATCGTTGCCTATCAACTTCATGGCTTCATGCATTGCATCTCGGACCTGCTTGAAGTGAATCTCTCAGCGTACAGTAGCATGGGACAATAGCCTAGAGTCGCGTCGCGGGCGATTCTCTTGTTCACAGCTGTACACATTGCTCTTACTTCGGACTTGGTGAAATGCGACAACAGAGCTGGGCAACCCTTGCGGTCTTAGGTTGATGGTGGATGACAGCAAGGTCCTGGGCAGGTTGGTAGGGGCGAGGTAGAGCAGATTGCGGGGCACAATCTCCCTGTCGCGTCAGGCTCTTCCCTACTAGCAAACGCGCTGGACTAGGTGGTCGTAGTGACAGTTTGCGCACGTAAGGACTGATCGTAGGCGAGAGATACAGCGGGTCGTTGGCACCCGCCTTTTTAGAGTTCACGTCGAGGCACATGAATCCTGGTAATTCAACGCGCAGACGTGGACCTCGTGAGGGTCCCTCCGAGCTGCGAGTCAGTGGGAGGAGCTGAGGCACAATGTACAGCCAGGTACAGAAAGGAGAAAAGACCAAGGGACCTTAGAGCCATACCTAGAGAGGTACTCAGAATCGGTGGGAGAAGCATTCACCTCTGCTGTCACTCCCACATCCCGAACATGTCGACGATCTCGGACTGTACAGAAGCCCCTCAAGAGATGTTAACCCTGTCCAAAGGCGGCCGTCAACTTCCTTCAGTCGACGCTATCACCGCTGCTTGAGACGCCCCAGTCCTGCCAAAGCGCATCTTCAGGAATCTGTCCCACGACATAGATGTCAGCACACGCAGTCTGCCGCTGGCAATGGCTCATGCCAGGTTCTTAATATGCTGTGTAGACAACATCCCCTCTTCGATGAGATCGGATCCGCATCTACATATCGTGGAAATATTACTTTGTGGCGCATCCAGGGCACCCTGGAGATTGACAACCTGATTTCTTGCGACGCTAGCGTATCGCGTCACTATGGCATGTAGCTAGCTAAGCGTGCTTTCTAGAGCTGTGAACTCTCTCACCAGCACACTCAACAGGGCGAAGTTAAGCCGACAAAAACGGTATTTCTCCACATCGGTTTGCACACAGGATAGCTTCAGTTTCAAGCAGCACAGTCAACTTTTACGCGTTTAAGAAACTCGACACTTATACTGTCATGATGGGCGACATGGAACACTACTTGGACACGTACCCACCAATCTGCTGGAATGAAGCATCACAAGCGGCAACCAAGCGGCTGCCCGATTCACAACGATTTGTAGTTTTATTTCTGTGTGTATGACTTTGCAATCCAAAGCGTCCCAGGCCCAGAACGCCTCGCATTACGACCCTTGTTGCTATTACCGACCGTCAGGAAGCTGGGAACTCGACCACTGACGTAGGCAAGCTGTCGCATGTGCGCTAGCACCTGAGGTTTGCTTTGGACTCAACCCAGTGTTTGGCCACATTGTGCTGGACGGCATCGCTGGAACCACTCGCGGACATCGACCTCACTTCTTTTGTGCAGGATAGCGGAGAAACTAGACGCTCGTGCTGGTGGGCACGTTTGGTAACAATCTCTTTGTTCTGTAAAGCCATTCAGCTACATCGTCGTGGAAACGGCTGTGCCTTACTCACTGTCTGTGGTTGCGATCCCTCGATCTTATCATCTGTAGGGCCTCCAAGCTCATCTTACAACTGTAGTGCTGGTTGAAGTCACGCGTGATGAGGTACCACATGCCATGCCCTTTGGCATGACTATGTCGATCAACCAGGTAGCGAAGATACCCTTCCTGGTTTGGGCGGGCATTTGGCGGCGCTGGCGGCTGGCGAGAGCGTAATGCGGTCTGGTGTGCGAAGTCCGCAGCACAGCCTATGTCGTTCGAACTGCTGTCGTCGCCGCAGCCGTTTCTCCCATCTGAACGCGGCAACGTTGCCGAGAGCGGTCCCGGGGATTGGAGGGCGTTGAAATGGCGGCCCGCGTCAGATGCAGATGGTGGAGGTGACGGTCGGGTTTGTGTCGAACCGTGGCCAGGAGCATGCTGCGCATCGCTAGTGTTGTCGTCCTGACTAGCAAGGTTTACTTCAGCCCCTCCATTCTGACGATAGAGTATGGCATCGTGTTCTGCCAATTTCTGTCCTACTCTTGGTGCGGGTTCTTCGGAACCATGTCTGCACTCTGCAACCAGCAATGAGATGCCGGCGGCGGACGCCGGTATAGACCTCAACTGAATTTCGCGCGAGCCTGGATGTCGTCGTGAGCCAGTTTGTAGGATACAGGCGACGTTCGCCACTTCGTCGTGAGGACTGGCAATGTCGTCTAGTGTCGAGGTAGGCTTTGACGAGGTGATGGTCTTCTTGCTCATATCTGAGAGCGAGGTACAGCCTTTCGAATAAGCAATACTTGCACTATTGCTGTCGCTATCGTCTCCAGAGTTGTCGTCTGAGCTTTCATTATTATTAACTATTTCTAAGCTTGGCAGCCTAATAGTTGACTTCAATACGTGGAGCTTGCTGTTTCCTGTGGTTGATGCGTTATGTGGAAGCCTCATGGCATAATCTCTGACAAACCTAAGGAACAACTGAAGCATGTCCAAACCCCCTTAACTGCCGGACAGTTCAACGCTACTCCCAATAAGAGCCTGGACGGTATCACTCATCCGCAGCATATGTTCTGCAGAAAAACCACAGGCGTGACATGTGGTTGAGGATGGATCTGCTGTGGTGGCGACGGGAGAGAGGGGACCTTGTCCGGACCTTTGGGGAGTAGGCTCCCCTGAAGAGGTGTTAAGGCGAGGTGAAGCAACTTCTAGTGTAGTTAGCGATCGTCTCCATAGTCTTCCCGCCTGCTTTCCTCTTATCAAAGTGTGGTTCACCTCTAGCGCAGGTAGTGCATCAACACGTAGGTGGTCATTATCACAGTTCATAGAGATAGCTGCGTGAGACTATGCCTGTGATCTAGAGGAGCGCTGAAGCTGTCTGTCGCTTTATGTTATGAGGCCTCTCTTGTCTAGCTTATCTTTCAAGACTCAAGATGGTAGTGCGCGTAAAGTCCTCGCTGGAAGAGCCTGCGATACTGTCTCCATGTCGGCATCTCGTGACTTTCGTCGTTTAGGCAAGCGGCGATTATAGCTCTCGCAGCTGTCTTCAATTGCCTCACAACCTCGCTTCCTCCAGCTAGTGATAGTATCACCGCCTTCCTGTGAGACAGCAGCATGATCTGAGGATGGAGTAGGAAGCGAGAAAAGGTTTGTTTGAGGCTCTTCTACCACATCCAAGGAAGCAGCGGCAGCGTTAATGGAGAGACTAGTAATAGGGCTTGATGCGTATAACGGACTCCCCGTGGAGTCGGGCGCCCCGGAGGTGCTTGCAGTCAGGATGTGTGATGTGGTGATCCCCGATAAATCTGGACTTATAAGGTTAACCGCTAACTGCTCAGAACAGCTCTCACTCTCAGTGCTGTTATCGTAAGAGCTAGTGTAACCATCTTTGGCTGAGCTGTTATTATCGCAGCTTTCCCCGGTGTCGCTGGTCTTGCTCCTCTCTTTTGATCCAGCAATATCTGTGCATGTTTGTTTCAGTCTTAATATCTCTAGTTTGCGGTTTTAGTCACTCATATGCGTTCATGTCGCTAAGACAACTTGTTAGTTGCTCGGTTGAACGTCTGACCAGGTCAAGAGCCAGGGGCTGTTCGCTTCGTGAAGAGGCAATTGCCACTTCTTGCGAATTCGGTTCTGTCGGAGGCTGGGCTAGTTCAGGTGTGCAAGTTAACCAGGATACCGGAGACTTGATCTCATCTGGCAAGCTGGGTTTCGTATTTTCCGCTGTAACACTACCAATCTTGGAGATCGGAGCAAAAGGCTCGGTTGTGTGTGCAATGTCACCCAGAGCATCGTTGTTATATAACTCAGCTGTGTTGAAGGCCTCAATAAAGTTGAATCCGAAGTCGTCAATACCAGCAAAAGAGTCACCAAGACCACCTGCTTATTATCAGTTAATGCTTATTAGGAAGTGATGTAGGTGTACCTGATGTGAAGCTTGAAGCCTGAGTCTCTGTCAAAATGAGAGCGCCAACATCTTGCTCGAGTTGCGTTGCAAGTACTGTTGACAAGTTTGTTGATATTTGCTGATGCTTTGGCTGCTCCTCAAGCTGGCATTAACGTTTCTGTCGTTTGCGCTCCCTCTGTTTACGCTCCTTTTCTTAGTAGAGCTTTATAAGGGTTTGCACGTCATACGTTTTTCTGAAGTTGGGGTGAGCCATCCTCAGCAAACGAGAAACAATGAGGTAAAGTATAAGCAGTGTGGAATCAGTCAGCTGCCGTAATAGGGGTAGAAGAAGGGCTTTATATAGGTTTTCTTTCAAGCCGAAGGCCCTATCTGTAGATACAACAGTCGGGTCAAACCGCCCCTTCACTAAACCAGAACGGGGCTTATAGCTCCTACATCCGCGGTGAAAGCCAAACATAACATCGCCAGGCCCCTCGCTTCATGGCAACGCTTCTGCCCTGTTGTGTCATTTTCTCTGCGCCTCAGAGGTGCCCCTGACGCGCTGGCGGCGTTTTCCCCCTCTTCCGAAATACGCCAATGATTGATCATGGACGCAGCAGTTTGCAGCCCTGAGCCCTTGGCCACGTCCAACAAGCCATGTCACCATCTTCAGAGCAAACCAGGCCCGATCCAAGCGGCATGAATCATAGTTGGCGGAGCAAGACAGGCACCCATCCATCGATGCAAATGCTTGGACTTGTGGTTGCAAGTTGCAACGAGGGAGGCCAGTCTGGCTGAACCCAACCCTCTATCGAGCTCGGCCAGCCTGTCAGCTGGCGCAACGATCGCCCCCTTGACATGGGGGAGAGAGGTTATATGCTGCTTCTCCTGGGACGTGTGCTGTGATTCTCTAGGGCTAAGAGCATGATCCGTTAGGAATACTACCTCGGAAGCCGTACAACAGTCTCAAGCTGTTGGGATGAGGCAGCTTTTGTAGCGGAGCTATTGATCGTCTTGGGAATATTGCGCTGGCACTTTGAGCTGTGCTTGAGCTTCCTGGCAACCTCCGTCTCGTATATGCAAGGTGATCTATCTTAGCACCCCTTTGTCGGAGGCAGAACAGGCAGACTTGAACGGCATGATCGAGATGAGAATTGCCTCTTCAGGCAATTTTGTGGTCTAGAAAGCCACCGAGAAGCAGGCTATCTCAAGGATACATGGCCTGGCTGGCGTGCTTCATATGAGGCTGTTATCGTCGGTGGCACTTCGCTAGGGGTAGGTGAGCAGGATACCCGGGCTACAGTTGAGAAGTGAAGTACCCAACAAGGGAATTCTGTTGGCACATGCCACCCTGGCCCCTGACAAATGTGTCTCTGAAGCCTAGAGGGGCCTCAGCGAGGCGGAGTTTGTCCTTTCTCGACCAGCAGCCTGGCCGGATGCCAATCTCTGCGACATGTGGTGTTTCTCACCCTCTTTGCCAACTCTCAACCGCTAATGAGGTTGAAGGCTTGGAAATTACTAAAGACGGCAATTCCCCAACCAAGCCCTGCCTCCCTTCGCCCGAGGATAGACTGTCAGGGACATCACCACGGGCGCTCATCGTGATGCCTGATACAGCACCTCGAACCACCGCTGCGTGGTTGCATGACCATAGCGCATCCCACGACCCCCGCTGAGTTGTCAAATTACCAGAAGAGGTAATTTTGGGCTTGAGGGAAGGCCTGGCACCCACGACGTCACTCCTGGGCGGCTGTAACGGTGCAATTGCGAGAACTGAGTTGGTTCGTCGGACCAGCGTTGGCCTGTTGTATGGTCCCATACCTCATCCAATGTTCCCCCCTGAGTCCTCAAGTTACCAGAAGAAGCAATTTTGGGTCGGATGGTAAGGCGAGGTAAGCGTGGATGGTAATGGGAACCTTCGAGAATGGGCGACGGGCCTGCTAGGCGTTCCCTCGGGTACTTGGAGATTGTCGACATTGACAATGAATGGAAACGACAAGCGCAAGGTAGCAGACGAACGTAGACCAGATTACTGTAAACGGCAATACACTGCTGAGGAAATTAGCCACACTGTTCCAGCAGGAGAACACCGGAGCCTTTTGTGCAGGACACGCTGCACCTGGCTTCGGCATAACGGGTGGAGGTAGCGGAAAAGAGATACCTCGACCATCCAAGCACCGGCATCAACTGGTGTTGAGAAAGGCTGTGGTTTATCGCGTGGTTTATTATCGCAAGTGAGAGTTGAATGGATGTTAACGAAGGGCGAACGTTGTAGTAGAATGTGGATGTGGCTAAGGCGGTCGGAAGGAACATGAAGGTGGCGCAGGGCCAAGCTGCGAGAGGAAAAGATACAAAGGGAACTTCGAGGCACATAGGCGCGTTGGGCAGGGTAGGCGCTCATTTAAGGGACGGCAAAAACGGCGAGGGATGGCGTGGCCGAGAATTACCCGATGTGGCAGGTGCCGAAGATGGCATGTCAGGACCGCCATTTCCGAAGGCAGGCAAGCCGTCTCATGTTCTACGGCTGTCTGACTTCTGAAATAGCAGTGGCATGTATCGCATTCGAAATGGGGCGCCTGGTGGAACTTGGCAGCAACATGCTGATCCCGGGATCTCCACGTTGGCTAAGTTTGCCAGCAGGTGCCACAGGCGAACGACACATTATGAGATGGAAGAAAGTTGGGTGGTATGCATGGACGCAGAGAAGAAAGTGCTACATAGAAGTGGTTGTAATTCACGGAAGGCTGCCTTTTCAACGTTTAATGCGTCCGCCGACCACTGACCGCATGTCTGCGCAACGATCAGGTGTCATTTACGTGACGCAGATATCCCTGGACTTTGCATTGCGGCCCTGTGTGCGGCCTCCTGCATTCGTGGCGTCTGGCTCAGAAAGGCTGCTGATAGACTCAGTGAAAGGTTGAAAATGAGAAGCATTCCAATAAAGTGCATACTGTAGAGTACATGGAAAGCACTAGGTAGTTTGATGCTGTAAAAAGAAAGAGCAACGTGTGGGTGGCATGGATAGTTACAGGCAACCATAGCACGTAGGAACGGCTTCGCGCGATTCATATCAAAACACCCACCCCCGGTCTCACACTGCAACTGGGGATTTAGTGTCTTCCGCAGCACTACAGCCAGATTGTGCCGCGCGACTCGGCGGCGAGTTAGGGATCTGTTGACGTGGGGTTTCCAGGAAACGCATGCAGCATGGTACAGCAAGTGAGCCCGTCTTGGAGGGTTAGCATCACTTGTCGCTCGTCAGCAGCTTAGCGTTCCCTTGATGACCTTGGGACGCACTTGCCGACTTAGTTCATTAGAAGGCAGCCGTCTTCGAAGTCGTATCTGCAGTAGCAGCCCCCTTCGCGGCTGGTATTGGACGCTTGGTGTACTGCTGCTAACATTACTAGTGATGAGACAAGACGCAAAAGTCGTATGATTCTGCATCTGGTCGGTCATCGATTCAAGCATGCCAAGCTGGCAAGTTACAGCCACAAGACTAGCAGCGATTTTTTAACGTGCACGCAGATCGGCGAATGTGAGGCGAGCGAGTGCAGTCTCGTATCGTACGAGTGTGCCGTTAAAACCCATATCCCGCATAGGCTGGCTGGTCCGTAAGCCAATTGACTTCCCATCCCCGATCGATTGCACCATACCACAAGCCACAAGGGGGTAGGAAGCTGTGGTAAATGGGCATAGCTGCAGTATAACGCGGGCCCTCTGATCTGCTACTCGGGTTGAGTACCCGCCCCACGTATTCGTTGGCCATGGTACTGTGTGTGATACGTTTACTTGATGGCCGCTTTCAGGACAACTGTGGGAGCGATTTAACGACGGCTGGGCACCACTTGCTCCAGCATTTCCTATACTAACATGAAGTAATGCGAACTAATCGGTTGTGCTCGCGATATTGCTGGCACAGAGGGTAGATGTCTCTGACGGTATCTGCTACGCTACAAGAGCTAGTTATACCAGAAGTTTTCGAGCCTCTTTTCTAACGTCTGCCAGAATGAGGGATGATCAGATTTGCTCAGAGCCACTCCAAAATGATAAAATTGGTCACGCATGACACGGTAGCCCTGTGCAGGAGAAATTATGTCCGACAGAGCGTAAATTCATATTGCTACATAATCGTCCTGTGCCGTTGGTCTGTTATTGCTCCGTCTACATGTCTCGAATACTGAGAGCTTCAAAATCCAAGCTGACTGCCTCTTCGTGACTCTCGGTGTCATTCTGGTCCCAGTCAAACAAACCAGAAACGTCGAGCATCTGAAGGCCTGGGATGGTGATCAGTGTTATTCATAGTATATCGCATATGCGTCACGGCCTAGAATGATCAGTCGCATTGCTTATTACCGGTCATACTAGCCATTTCAAGCTGTCCATTCTGTGCTGTCGGCTGTTGCTTGCCTATCTGTGGGCCGACCACTGTATATTCAGCAGCGCATTACATGTCGCTAAGTCTCACCCACAGCAAGCCTGTTAACTAGGTTTATTAGTCCCTAGTAACACTTCACTTTCACTCCGCTTATAATTGCTGAGGGACCCGTTTAGCGATGGGTAATCCCGCACCCCGTCCTCATGAACCACACCCGTCTGCCAAGCCGCAACGATGAACGACAAGGACGACAAGGACCAGTCACTTCTACAGCTTAGCCGGCACCATCGCACGTCCATCGTCTCGCAGCTCGTCAACATAGGCAGTAAGTGCAACCAGCAAGAGCATGTTAAGTTTCGCCGCTTCATCAGCAGCCTCCAGTGTCTCCAGCCCAGAGGCTCGGAGATGCGCCGCCGGTCGATAAACGCTTTCCGCCAGCGGCAGTACGTCGCGCTGTCCTACACCTGGACTCCGTCGAAGCACGAAAACCCGGAATCCGGGTGGTACTCCATCGAAGACTGGGACGATGAGTATCAACCCTCGTCGGTCCGGAAATGCATCCTCGACCGCGTCCTCTGTTATATGCGCCACACCGGCGTCCGCTTCCTTTGGATCGATGCCCATTGCATTCGTCAAGACACATGCGTCATCGACGATTGTGCTCGCCACTCTCACTGCGTCGAGAAACGCAACGCCATACAAGCCATGGACCTCGTCTACCAGCTCAGCGAGCACCCCGTGGCATTGCTGGGCCGGCCGCTGAAGACCGAATCCGAGTTATACCTCCTTAGGCGAATCCTCTCGGGGGCCCTTGTCGACGGCGATCGCAAGTTTCAGGTTTCTACAGTGACAGTTGTTCAGGTGGCGAGGACGGCACTGCTGCTGCTCAGCAAGATCACGCAGGACAGCTGGTGGTGTCGTGCCTGGACATTCCAGGAGCACTACCGCGGCGGAACGCATATGCAGTTGTTGATCCGCCACGACCCGTCCCTGGAGCCGCAGAAGCGGCGCCATAGCGTATTCGGCAGAATATCGGGCGAGCTGTGCATACCGTTCATCATGTTCTCCACGCAGGCGACGCGGCTGTGCCTGGCGCTTCGCGGGCTGGCAGGGCTGTCGCCGCCGGACGCGAAGCGGATCGATGGCGTGCTCCGAGCAGCCGGAAGATATGGACTCACGGTACACAGCTCAAGCTCCATGACCCCAACGGTAATCGACGATATCGAGGCGCGCGAGTTGTCGAAGCCATGGGACCGGCTTGCCATTATAGCCAACTGCTGTCAATACCCAGTGCGGTTGGACGGCGGAGCGCTCAGCCGGCAGGGTCAAAGCCTCAGTTTATCAGTGCTAGCCATGTGTCTACTCAACGGCGAGATCCTCAACAACGGCAACAATAACACGTCATCAATAGCCGAGCTAACAACTTCAGAATTTCTCAACAAGATGATGTTCCGGCAATTCAACGCGCCTGAAGACGACATGCGGAAATTGACTTTTAACAAAGGCTGCCGGCTGACCGGCGTGGAGTTGATAGCGGGCGGCATCGCAACAAAAGGCCACCTGTGGAAGCTGGGCCCTATCATCGATACCGCAACGTTCCGGCGGGAGTTGCCGTGGGTCGAAGATCCGAGGGGTCGTTTAACACTGAATGCGCGGAAGCGCTTGCTGCAGCTTGTGTTTTGCTTATATGATCTGGACTGCGACTGGCTCGCCGACCGAATCCGCGAGCACCTCGACGCTGACGTCGACGCCGCCGGGGAAGAGCACCGCTCCTTTACCGACATGCATCTTCACCGCATGGCTGCCGAGCTAGCGACGGCGATCCTGGCCCGCCGGAAGCTGAGGCTAGGTAGGATTTGGAACGACTCAGAGCAGCCAGCGCTGTATCGCGCCATTTTCGTGTGCTCAGACCTAGGCGACGACGGAGCGTACCCGCCCGCGGCTTTCGCCTTCACATCGGCATGGGAGGGCGTTCCTGGCTCGCAGACATACGATGCTAACGATATCGACCGCCACGTCTCTCTCGAGGTCGAAAAGGGGGGATCACTAGGCAGCAGCGGCGTGCCGCAACTCCGCGTCCGCAGGTGGCTGCTGGGCATGTGTTTTTGGGGTGGTTGTCGGTGCATTAAGGTGGTGTTTCCCTGGCCGCGAGCGCTGCAGGCACTTAAACCGTGGCTAACGAGACGGAGGGATCTGGCGGCAGACCCCCATCCAACTATTTTCCGCTTCACTTCGGAGGTAGACTCTTTTTATCCACTGAAGATGTCAAAAAAGCCCGTAGAGCCACGTAAAACTACAAAACCTCTCGAATTTAATCACAGTCTTCTTATATATGATCACACCGACGCGCCATCTAGTAACCTTGCCCTCTTAGTCCCACTACAACCTACGATAGACGACTGCAGCCTGGCGAAGACTCTGTCATTAGGTGCTAGTAACACCGACGAGAAGTTGTTTCCCCATTGCAGCCCTAAGAACAGCAAACGGCGACGGATAGCGTAAAATTTCGCGGGGAGACCCAGCGTGCTTGAGGTTACTCAAATGCTATCTTCGTCTTCCCACGCGCTGCTCGGGCCAACTAGGCCACCTAAACTCCTACAGAAAGCCAAAGATGGTCAGCGAGGCGACGGGAAAATGCCAATCAAATGCCACGTCATGACCGCCTGCAGTCAGCCACACCGAATACCGAATGAACCAACACTATGCCAGCAAATCCATACAGGGTTGCAGTTGAATGCTGCTGGATCCTGAAAGACGCATATGCACTTCCAAAGTGGCAGTGCCTGCGTTGCCATTGTGGTCAGAAACGCGTCAGGGCTTACAGAGTGCAAACATATCGACGACGACTTGGACAAACCTCGGCCACTAATCTAGCCCGGGCGGGCCTTCACCAGTCGCAAACTAGCAGCATGCAAGTCGCAGACAACTGCAGGAGGGGCCTCACCAACGACGGTGAAGAGTTAGCTCGCTAAGCCTTTTATGATGTCGCCTCATATACTACCCGAGGTGGAGTGAGGAGTGGGATTGCTGGTTGCACCTCCGTTCGGGAAGTCCTCCAAAGTGCATATTCATCTCAAATCCAGCCGCAACCTTGAGCAACCCTGACCTAAATTGCTATATCACTCATGTGGACGCCTCCAAAATGCTCTTCGTAATGCAGCCAAGCTTACTTCCACTCCCTGCTGCTGCGAGCAAGACTTGCGGCTAGACATCACTGCGTGCAACAACCAAGCAGAGCGCAATTTGACATGCAAAGTCACCATCGTAATCTAGCTTGACCCTCCGCGCTTACCCAGACGCCATGTCGGCGACTCCGCTTGATATTGCGGACTGTGGCGGTCTTAACTGCGAGGCATGCCAAGCTGCGATTTTGATCCAGATAACCGCCAACGACGAGGCAGAACAGATCGGCGAAGGTACTACGGCTACGTCTCCACGCAAGGCAGATATCGGTGGCTCGTCTCGCACATCCCGCCTCTTAGCCTGCGCCGCAGCTGAGTGTCAGCGACGCGGACGCTCCAGTATAAATCTGTGCAGGGCACCATGGCCAGGCGGCTTGGCAAGATCCATCACCAACAAGCGGCAGGGAAACTACAAGGGCTGTTCTGCACAAACATCTCAGCAGTGCCAGTGTACATCCGGCGGGGGGGGGGGGGGGGGGATCCCCACAGTAGCAAGCTGCCACCACCACACTAAGGGAAGCTATACCGCTCGTTGCACACCATCCCTTCACCTATCGCAGAGTTAACAACAATGTTACCTTGCTACTTCGCTGTCTCACCGAATTCCGCCTCATTTAACAGAGCTCACGCCAGCCACTTACGTACCTCCATGCAGTCGGATCCCATGGAGACTGACCTGCAGTCGCCTAGTTCCCAACCAGGCGGCCAACGAAAGGGAATATATCCAAATCGCCCTCCCTGCTTTTCCAATTCCAAATGCAATAACACCTTTTGTTAAGACCGCAGCAGACCAGAAGTTATTCGAGGTCCTTATCTTCCACACCTAATCGAGAAGGCGACCAACGACAAGTGACTGCCATTCGGTGTGTGTCATGTAAGACGGATTTGGCGACTTAAACTGGCCACACCAGCCCCAAGCTGCATTCGAAGGCTATGAATTATATTTCGTGCTGAGGAGGCATGACTTAGTACCAAGAGCAGGCTGTAATTGTTGGCGTTGTTTATGGGGTACTGAGTATCACGGAATGACGTAAAGTTGAGAATTGAAGATAAAGATACGGAGGCCTCCCAGAAGTTTGAATCACTCAGAACATCCAAGCCTGGCACATTGGGACTCCAAACGTCTCTGGGTTTATTGAAATACAACGAGGGGCTAGCATTCCCCCACAATCAATCATGTCTTCAGTTCCGCCACAGCGTTTTGCCCTGCTTGTCGGTGTTGATCTGTATTTAAACGACGGGTCGAGGAGACATTCAGATGGCAACGCCGTGTCCCTCAAAAACCTCGACGGCTGCGTCAAAGATGTACAGGCCATTCGGGACTTTCTCTATCAAGAACTTCAACTCGATAAACCATCCGTTCTTACATCCTCCCCGGCTGTTTTAACGGAAAACGAACCTGCGAGGCCGGCCGAGCCACTCGATTGTTGGCCTACATTTGCCAACATTAAAAGGGAATTCGACATCGTGTATAATGGAGCGAGGGCCGGCGATTTTTTCTATTTCCACTTCTCGGGACACGGTGCTGAACTGCAACCAATTGACGGATCTCCCGATGCCAGTCCAAGGGAACCGTCTCTGCTGACAGCCGACTTTTGCTGCGGAAACCCTGCCGTGCGCGGATGGCAGCTGAACAAATGGCTGGAAAGACTCAGCGACAAGCATGTTCATATTGTGGTCACTATTGACAGCTGCCACTCTGGCGGCGCCTGGCGTAATGACGACCACATGCGCACCCCGGTTGGTTGGACCACGGTTCTCAACCTTCCCACTGACAGAGCGGCTGCCGAAGAGGCCGAGTTCCGGTCAGTTCTTCGGGATGGTGAGTTGGAGAAGTGTTGGTCCATCGCCCCGGACCGGCTCACGGTGATGACGGCTTGCGAAAGCCACGAAAAGGCCTCGGACAGAACTATCGACAACCAAGTGGGCGGGGCGTTTACCCACGCGCTCCTGGGTTACTTGAAGCAGCAGCCAGTTTCATCGAGTAGGACGTATCGCGTCATTCGCGATCATATTGCGAATCAAGTTTCGGGACAGAATCCAAGGGTTTTTGGACGGGACAGGCTCCTCTTTTTGGGGACTGAGGAGCCTTTTTCAGCCACGCCTTTGGTTGGGAAAATCGAAGAGGGAATGGTCCACCTTCCAATTGGAAGGGTCCACGGTGTTCAGCGAGGATCTAAGTTTACATTCCCGCCGACTGGGGATGTCTTTGTTGTTGATGTTGTTGATGAGTTTCAGTGCCGCGCAACTGGCAAGCCGAAAATTATGGAGGTACTAAGGGAGCATATTTTCCAGGTCTTTCCATCCAAGTGGAACTTCGGCGAAGATAAACTCCACGTTCTTGTCAATCTCCAACTTGGTAATGCGTTTTCAACAACACTGCGTGGATACCTTGAGGACCGGATCGCCAGCGACATTGAAATTATCCAGCAAGGAGCAAGTGACAACAGCAACGACAGCAACTGCGCCGTGCTGAGACTCGAACACCGGGGGGATAATGGCATTGACATCTTCGGGCCCGCCTCTTTAATCGGTTACGAAGGTCCTGTACGGGGCTTGAACGTTTGCGGAAACAACATCGAGCTTGCGATTACATCCGCTGCAACTCTGGCACACCTAGCCCGTTTTGAACAGATTCTCAATCTTCGCAGCCAGACATGCAAGGAAAAAGCACCGTTTGAATTCACAATGGTACCCGAGAATGCTGCCGCAACGCCCCCATTCTCAAATGGCCAGAAATTCAACTTCGCTCTCAGGAACACAGGGGACGCCAAGCTGTATTTCACAGTCGTGGTTCTAGGTCCTGGGTTCCATGTGCGGCAGCTTTTCCCTACCCAGGACTCTCCAGAAACGCTGCATGCAAACGAGACACGATCTTTTGCGTTTGGTATCACTATCCCGGACGAGCTTAAGAGAGATCAGGTGGCGGACAGCGGACTTACGCACAGAGACATCATCCGCACTATTATTACAAGGAGTGAGCCACTTTCATGGAGGAGTCTGGAGCTGCCCGACATTTGGAATGCCTCGCAGGTAGAGCATACGCGTGTAGGTGAGCCAGGAAGGGACGCAACGCTAGTGCAAGGCGGTTTCGCTTGTTGGATGGAGGACGAGGAGATACTTACACGCTCTGTGTGAGGAGGTATTTAATCAAGGACCATATGCGTATGGACGCCTAACTCATATTTTTTGTATATGGCTTAGTTTCACTTATTCTCACAGTGGGATTATTTCGCTGAGACTAAAACCGTTCTATCAGCAACTGGAGAACTATTCGTGGGGTGGCGAAGGCGATACAGAGTTTCTCCGTCATTCTCGGGCGATTCCGCGTCGAAGTCGGTCGCTGGATTCAACATGAGCGCCTGCACGATGCCAGTCCCCCAAATACAGGAACAGGAAAGACCTCAACTGTCTCCTTTGACAATGATGTGTTCATTTTCCTAAGAAATCAAACTCACAATGCATCCCTGGAGAGCATGACATGAACAAACGGGCTTTCGCCTGATTAGTTACCAAGGTACAGTATGTTACCTTGATCTCGGCAATACGGTCAAAAACCGGCCGTGAAGACACCTGTCAATCTTTGATACATTTTAATCCACAAATAGTCATACATTAATCTATCTACGGCTATCTTACGTGGGTAACAACAGAAAAGCAAAAGCATGCCCAATCTTCTGAAACGAATCCATCACCTCCACGATGGTTCCCATCACCACCGCTTGCTGTGCGTGTCGCTGGTTTATTAAGTTTCGGCAGTTCTAGCATATCGAAGGAGGTCAGATGGGAGGTCACAAATACGACTATTGCATCGTTGCAGTAGAGCTGCCCTTTGTCCGTCGTCTCCGTAGGGACTTCCATCCTAAGCTTCCACGTCTTTTTGGCCATTCCTGTAGACGTTTGATCCCCCTGAGGCCGAGGAACCACGTCATGATTCGCTTCAAAAATATTTTCAACCTGCTGATTGGGACCCATGTCAAATATGTAGACATAAAGCTCCCTGTCTCCCATGTTCTCTGCGGTCAAGGTGACTAAGTCGCGATGATACACTTGCACTGAGGACCCAGGATAGAAAGTATCTCCCGAGGGACCAACAAGAGAAATAGCGAATGATTGCTGGAAAGAGGTTTTCGGTGTTTCGTTCGCCAAGTCTTTGACCATCGTGAACTTGGCCAAGTGCTGGATGATATCA